ACTAACTATATAATACCTAACTATATAATAAATAACTATATAATAACTAACTATATAATAACTAACTATGTAATAGATAGCTTTCAATACCTAACTATATAATAAATAACTATATAATAAATAACTATATAATAACTAACTATATAATAACTAACTATATAATACCTAACTATAAAATAAATAACTATATAATAACTAACTATATAATAACTAACTATATAATAACTAACTATATAATAACTAACTATATAATAACTAACTATATAATAACTAACTATATAATAGATAGCTATATAATAACTAACTATATAATAACTAACTATATAGTAATACTATAGAGTATAGTATTAGTTATAATTATTATAACTAGGAAGAAAGTAGTGTAAATAAGGTTTTAAATTATAATATTAAAGAAGTAAAAGAATACTATATTACTAATATTATTCTAAATACTTTTTATAGTAATAATATTAGAAATTTTAGTATTAGTAACTAAGTAACTAAGAGTAAATAATAATATAACTACTTTTATATATATATATAAAGAAGTAATAGTATTAGTATTAATAAAATATATTTTTTAATATATAGATATATATATAAACCTACTAATATATTTTTACTTATATATTATTAGACTACTATATAAATATATATAAAAAGAATTAATCTTGTATTTTTTCTTTGTATTTTGTATAATATACAAAATATAATACATGTATTTGTATTTGTATTATATTATGTATAGGAAAAAATACAATACAAATACATGTATTATATCATACTAGAAAAAAAATACAAATACATGTATTGTATTTGTATCGTATTTGTATTATATTTTTTTAATACTCTAATAGTGCACTTAGGTATACTATAGTAATAGGTAATAAGGCACTTATAATAATCCTTATCCTTAGGTAGGCTATTATAGGTAGTTACCTTAACTAGTTTAGTAACCTTTTTAATAAGTAACTTAAGGATCTTAAGTTTATTCTTACTATAGTTTTTATAGGTAATTAAGTTAAATAATATATAGTAAAGCTTAGTAATATAGGCTAAGTGTACCTTATTACCTTTAAATTATTCTTTAAGCTTTACTATTAGAGTATTAAAATTACCTACCTACTAGTAGAGAGTAAAGGTATAATACTCTTATAGTTCCCCTTAGAGTATTACTTAAATTACTACTCTATAGTAGTCTTATATTATGCCTACCTAGATACAAAGGTTATAGAACAACAGTAATTTTAAGTTAATAGTTTTATACTAGCTACTAGTGTATTTTATAGCCTAGTTATTAGAGTATATCTTTATAAGGTTACTTATTTACTTTAGCGTTAGCCTTAATATTACTATTAATATTACTATAGTTAATAAGAGCTCCTATAGTAGTATAGTAGTTATTATATATAGGCTATAGATTTTAGCTATTACTTAGGGTTTTAGTGTTAACAAAGGTAATAGTAAAGTAAAGGTTAAGTTATTATAGAAGGTCTAATAGGTAATTACTAGTAATAGGTGCACTTTAGCTAGTTTTTTACTATATAAGATTATATTATAACCTTAAATATTCTTAATAAAGTTAAGGTCTTTAAGGTATAGTTTAAAGTTATATAATAATCTTTTAATAATAGTAATTATCTTATTAGTCTAGTAGGCACCTTCCTCTTATTAAAGGGTATTAAATATATATTAAGTAATTAATAGGTGTTTACTATAGTTAACCTATACACTATAATTAATAAGGAAGTTATATAGGCTTATTAGGACCTTCTAGTTAATTACCTTAAAGTTATTTATAGACTATTTACTAAAATCCTTATAGGTGTAGTAAAGTAATTTACTACTAATATAGTTATAGTACTTATAACTACTAATATAAAATATAGTAATAGTGTTAAGCATAAAAGCTTATTACTTACTTATAAAGTTAGTTAGTAACTTCTTAATATAGTCTTTTCCTTATTACTATAGGAGAATATACTATATAAGGTTAGTAAGTATAGTAAATATATTATTAATTACTACTACTTACTGCCTTATATTAAGTAGTATATTATACTTATTATAAACTTCTTCTTATTACCTTATAAGTAAAGGTATAGTAACCTATAAGCCTTACTTACTTATAAGCTTATTATATTTACTTATCTTAGCTTAGGTCTTCTACTTATAGGCGTAGTATTATTTACTATTACCCTCTGTTAGCCTAATAACCTCTTAAATATAGGCGTTTCTTTTAGTAGACTAAAAGGTATATATATTTATTAGAGGGATTACTGCTAGTAGTATAGATAGCTAGGGAAAAATATACTCTTATAGGTAAATAACTTAAGGAAAAACAATAGGCTATTATATTAGCTACTTATTAACACTATTAGTTAGCAAAAGGAGAGAAAATAATAGGCCTTTATATTAGTAACTTATTAACACTATTAGTTAGCAGAAGAAGTATATATATAAGAAAAAGAAGTTAGTAAGCTAAAGAGCTTATAATAAATAGGATATAGTAAATAATTACTAGTTAGCTATAGGTATATAAAGTAAGAGGTTTTTTATAGTTAAGAGTACTTCTCTAAAGGTAATAAAGCTTATATAATAGATATAAATTAATAAGGTTTCTACTAGTTAAAGGACTAGTTATAGATCTATTAATTAACCTATTATAATAAGTAATTAGTATAAACTATTACAGTAAGGGTATTTATAAAGGTATTTTTAGTACTTATCTACTCTAGGTATATAAATAATTAACTAGTAATAATTACCTCTTTTTATAGACCTTACTAATCTATAGTTTAGACAGTAAAGTTAACCTTTGTAGTTAATAGTAAAGTTAACTACTAATTAGTATTAGTAATACTAAGGAATAAGTTAATATAGTTAACTATATATATTAGTAGTAATTAATAAATAATAAGGGTAACTATAGTTCTTTATTATATATAAAGAAAAGAAGGATAATTATTATAGGTTAGTTAGTTAAATAACTAACTTATTACCTATAAATCCTTAGAGAATCTATAGCCAAATATCTAAGGATTTACTAGCGATAAGTCATTAGGGTTAACCTAATAACTCTAATATTTATCTACAATAGTCAACATTATAACAACTACCTATAAAAAGCGCTTAATAATTAATATTATAGTACTATAATAATTATATAAATAATATAAGCTTTTTAAGGTATAATAGATCTATAGTAATAATAACTTTACTAATAGGTTTATAAAGTCCTTCTTAAACTAAGCACTTAAGAGTCTTATCTCTTATAATAAGGTAAAGATATAGATAAAAGAATAAGTTATATAAATATAATAAAAAATAATAAGAATAATAAAATATAAGATAATAAGTACTTAGAAAAAGAAATAAGTTATATAAACTATATAAATTAATAGTAGTTAAATTTATTTAATATAGGTATATACCTTTAATAGCTATAGCTAAAGAGAAATATACTTAAATAAGATAGTATAAGCCTACCTTTACTAAGTAAATAAATAAATAAATTTATAGTAGTATATAACTATAAAAAGTATAATACTTTTACTTTTTTTATTTTATTATATTTTTAGGCCTTTTAGGAGGAATAGGAGCACTAGTAACTTTTACTATATAAGAAAGTTACTAGTGTTAGTATATAGGTAATATAGCTAAAGGCAGTAGGTTATATAATACACTACCTACTAGTAGAATCCTTTACCTTTACCTATACACAAGGGTACTACTACACTTATGCGCCTACTTCACCTTGTTAACTAGTTAACTATTAATAACTACAAATTTAACTACCTTTTCCCAACCTTTGTGATATCACAAGATAGGGATCCCTATCAATTAACCAGTGAAAACCAACACTTCCAACGCAGTCAGTCTCCCCTCCCCGAAATGCAGCCCCGAGTTTCCGGCTGTAGGCCCGTCTTTTCTCAGTAACTCCACCTACCGAACATGGCAGTCACCGCCGTCATTGCCCAGTTCCACAGCCGCGGGGTATTAGGTGAGAGGTTGACATCAAGAGGAAGAAGAGGAATGTACGGGATCAAGTTGGCAAAGGGGTAAAGGACGAGGGGAAGCTCCCTTTGCCCGAGCTTCTGATCTAGACAGACGGGGTGCTCCCCCCCTGCTTGGATTGTCCCACTGATATGCGGACCGCCTTCCGGACCATCGACTTGACGTGCAGGGCGAGTGACGTTAAACACAGGTTGGCCAGCATACACATATGAACCCATTACCAGAGAGAGAAGCGCTCCAAAATCAAGGTCCCTGCTAAGTAAGATTATCCTTACCGCGTATAATTCTAGTAGCATAGTCCTGATTAGTGATTTAGTTATTCTACTTCATGTAGTGAACTTCGTGGGATCACCTATGCAAAAGCTCCAGGCTAGTGTTGAACGCACTGCAATATGTCATTTTGTTAATTGTTGCCAGAGGTAACAGTAACAGCTGAAGCCACCCGGCTGGGTGAAGCAGTAGTGTTTCGATTCAACAAATATACTATTACTCAAGAAATATCAAAGAAGAAGAAGGGAGCTATCCAGGGACTCAAATAGAGATGGGCTGGAAGCCCTTGGTATTCCACGTAATTCAGACCCAGTAGCGCTTATATTCCAACACAATTCCGTTAATACTTTCACAATATCTTCACTAGCTTACCAATAGGGACCCGCGCATTGATCCAATAATGAATCATCCCTGTTCACATGTTTTGTAGATCAACCAGCCAAATGTTCTAGCAGGCGTCTTCTAATGTTGAACTCTTGCCTAAGCTTGCCATTAACACCAAGGCACACCCATCAAAACCCAACTAATAAACCTCTAGGTCCGCAACGCCGCCAACACTTGTCCACGACGGCCCTAACAATTCAACTGTTGTCTTTTCCTAATACAGGATAATATTGAGTCTCGGGGCAAAGGCTCAAAAAGGCTCGGGCCGAGGTGCTTGTTTGCTTTTACTTCTTGAACGGACACCAAAACACGAGGGGATAAGAGATTTCGACATCATGCTATTACAGCTATAATTTTGGTCCTTGGACGGTCTGTTTCTGCTCTGGCCAAAGAGCTTGCCTGTTGTAGAGAGAGCTAATTAAGAGCGCCTGCTCCCGTAGTCACCGCTAACCCCGTCGTCAGCACCGTCTTAGTCACCCAGACCGTCACAGGCAGCAGCACTAGGACCATCTTCCAGCGTCAGGCCGTCCAGACTCCAGTCTGCACCCCCACCAAGACTGTCCCCGCGTAGGCATCGCCGTGCTCAAACGCAGCCCGCTACAGCTCCGCCTGCTCCTGCATCGGCGCCACTGCTGCTACGACCACGGCCTCGACGCCCCTCGTGACCTCGACTGTGACCTTCTCCACGACTACGACGGTTATGCCCACTGTCACTCGCCTGGCACAGTCGTGCAGTATTCCAGCTAACTGTCGTGGTATCTTCGTGAGCACATGCATGGGGGCCACGTGTGTGTGCATCCTATCCACCGAGGGCCGCTCAGTCTGCATTGAGGAAGCTAGCTGTGGTAATGCTTGCGCCAGCAGCAACGACTGCGCTGACGACGAAGTCCGCGCGACGGAGAGCTGGTGCGGGCAAGGCAACTTCTGCTCTAAGCGCTGTGGCACCATCATCCTGTCCTAGATGATGTTCAAGAAGCGCGACGCTTCGGCTTGGGTCAAGAAGTCGGACCGGGCCAATCAACTCACCTTTGCGAAACTCCACAAGCGCGGCCGTGACGGGGCCCAGGTCAGTTGTTTGCACCGTCTAGCTTGATAAGAAATAATACCATGTGTTCTGATTAGACGCGGATTCGGAATAGATTGCAGAGTGCTAAAATATGGGCACTTGGAAGCATATGCTTATTACCCGGGGGTAACTTAGTCAGCGCTGTGAGCTAAACACCCTCTCCGTGAGGAGGGGGTGAAAAAACGGGGTTGCCCCAACCTAGTCCTACTTTTTATTACACTCTCACTAAAAATAAGCGATTACGGATATTTGGACACGTTATTAACATAACAAAACTATTTACCCACCTTACTACATTCATCATATACTCAATATGCCCTGCTAATGTGACAAGAACATGACTGCTGCCAAAAAGGCAGCTGAGACGCTATATATTGCCCGTCAACGGGCAACCTGCCAACGGGCAGGCAAGACGGCAATCAATATACCCTCTATACGCCAGGCTGCCCGGGATTACGGCGTATCTCATACGGCGATTCAGAAGCACCTCCGGGCCCTTCAGGAAGGCCATGACCTCCGCGTAAGCCCGGATGAGCCCGGCCGGCCCCGGTCGTTTACGGAGGCCGAAGATGTAGCTCTCGGAGTGGCAATGTGAATTTGCAGTTATCGTACAAAAAGGGAAAAAGATACTGTTGTAAAGCCCTTGACTAAGGCTATTGATTGATACTACTCTTGTTATTATATAACGTTGTGGGCGTTATTGCTTTAAGAAATGAAAAGTTGACTATACTATATAAAGCACGCAAAAGTGAGGCTATTGGTGATGGAGGTTGGCAACCCCTTTTTCGTAGTGGCAACCCCATTTTTTTCACCCCTTGCGTGAGCAAGGGGTAGGTATATAGCGAAGCAAAATGCTTACTAATACCCATGGGTAGCCATAAAACGTAATATCTCTTTAACCTTATACCATGTGTGTAGTGTCTGTTACCACGTACACTGTGCTTGCCATGGCGATTTGTGTCAGTGTACGGGACTCGGGACAGACTTGATACCCGGTATATGGGGGCAGGTCTGAGTACGGGCACAGGTTTGGCTGCAGAGGTAAATGAATAGAATCCACGGAGAGGAGTTTGTGCTTTTGATTCATGTAAGCGGGCTGGCAGGAAGATGAAATCGGCCCAAAGCACGTGTGGGGTCGGGGCTTACTGTGCTTGCTTACTGCATTAAGCATGCACACATTTCCCATGACGCTTCTCGTTCGACCTATGGCGAGATTACGTGGTCTATCTATCCAATGCTGAAAGAATACTTGCTGAGATCTGACAAGATTGACAAGTTCATCCCAGGGCATAGAACTCATCATGTGCCGCATCCAGCCCACTAGCAACCCCGTCGGCAATACTAAGTGCCCGCAGGCGCTCTTCCTCCACTCTAGCCCATGTCCACTGTTCCTCGCCCGCCAAGCCCGAGTCGTTGCCCGCATGTTTTTCAACGCCGCTCGTTTCGCTGGGATCCTCATTGGCCGCAAGGACTCCCGCCGCCTGGAGGAATTTCTCGGGTGGCACTGTAAGTCGGCCGGCTTTGACAACACATTTGGAGATGGCCGTGGCGAATACAACGGGAGACTTGGAGGTCGTCTTTCCTTCTTCAGGCTTCTTCCAGGGTCGATAGGTATAGAGCCCAGCGCCTTTCCGCTTCTCTACGAAATGGGTCACAACATAAAGCCATTTCCTGTCCCAAGTAAGGATTCGGCTATACATGTCGAATGCGGCCCCGGGGCTGATTTCCTTCTTGAAGGTGCAGGATGTGCCGGCCAGAAGAACCATTACACCGTTTTTATACTCCTTGTATAGACCACCGCGAATCGCCTCTGCTCTCAGAGAAGCGAGGAGATCGGTTCTTGCGACATCAAGGTCTGAAAAGTACGTGCTGTTGGATTTATGCAAGTTGTAGTCCAGCTCCAACAAGGCCACGCGTGAGGGCGTGACAACCGGGCGGAATACAGATCCTGGCTTATGATCAAAGTGGCCCACTTTTGGCCACCAAATGTTGCGGAAAACACGGAACTAGTAATGGGTGTAAGTATGAATCAAAAAGCATCGCGATAGTTAGCCACTTACATGCCACACTAATGGAAATCTTTTGAAGTTATGGTATAGGACAGCAGCGGTCACTGCTCCCCAGAATGTCTGGGCTTTGTTTTTGGTAATCCAATGTAGGGCATCCTCGATCGCCGTTCTGAGAGCTGATGTAGCTGTCTCTAGCAGGGCTGTCATTATTGCGTACAGCGCTAAGACTGTAATGGGATTATTCAGTTCATATAGGTCATCCACTAGCTGACGTGAAATATCAAAAGCATCTATGGAACGGCAGAGGAGGAAATATATATTTGCAACGTGGTAACTTGAGTCATGGGTTGTAAAGTTTTTGTAACCGTGTCAGCATCACCCTGTGCTGTTGCAACTCTCTAAATGAACTGGAACTTAGAGTTCATGAAAAATCAATCGCCGGGGGTTTGACGGACTAAGGCCCGCCGCATTCATTTGATCCTCAAAGTCGTTCCCTACATTGATATCTTCCAATCGTGCCGAAAGGGGGGGAAGAGGTTAGGAGGCTGGTTACCAGGGTGCGGTGCAGCCGCCCCCGTCAGATCAGGTCGGCGATTAGCAAAGGTAGTTTATAATAGGATAGTTGATGTACTATTTTTTTCCCCGTCTGTGAATGAGTCTATTGAATAATTCGAAAGGACCATTAGGTTGGCGAATGGTCCAATGTCTCCAAAGGCACATGGAAGCTCAGACGAAATGGTAATCGGGCCATCAGAAGCCTAACCGGTAACGGTGCGCCAGTCTCCTCGCCCGAAAAAGCAAGCATGCGCCACGGTACAGAACATATTGATTCAAATACAGATGCATTAGGTATCTGCTTCCAGCAACACGTACATGTATAAGTTTCTCAGGCTCAGCCATGGTTTCGAGTAGGGCTGGGCCTAGACTCTTGCTGGGATACCAAAACAAGGCATATTGTCGGTTACGGGTAACGGTATGCACGAGCGACGATCCACGGGGCTAACGGAAGGCCCCTGGAAAGTGCCGTCATCCAGTGCCACAGCTTGAATGTGCTTGGCCCAGCCACCAATCATCAGCATCAATAATCTCGGTAACGTTGGTGTGGTTACCAATGGCAGACCTGCAACGCAGTCGTAAGGCAATGTTGTCCACTTTCAATGACGTAGAATTCTCCAAGGCCCAAGCCCAAGCCAGCCATATGCCGGCTTGCCGGTCAATGTGGAGAGCACCAAAGAACGCATCAATCCACATTGCGAATTTGGTGCTAGGAAAAGGAATTACCTGACGTCAATGACACCGAAAAATCAAGCGGGCAGCTAACCGCTGCTGCATCTCCCCAGTGATCTCACTGTTGTTTTGTTTGTTCGCACTGGAGTGACTAGCGCGAGCTAAAAGCCGAAAAAGCCAATGCTATATCAATGCGTCTGATTCCACCAACGGCTACGAGTTTAAAGTTCAACCTATCGTTCCTCGCTATTCTCAAGTGCGGTCATCCACCAAAAGTTGTTTGTGCAACCTAACATCATGGCTCGTCAACAGAGTCTGGGCTCCAAGCTCATTCATCTGCTGCCCTTTGTTGCCTACTCATCGGCATCTGCCCTGTACTCGACCTATAGTTTCAACCCTTTGACGCATTTGGGAGGTATCGCTCCTTACTTCGAGTCGCAAGATCCTCAGTCCTCCCCGGACGCCCCGCAAGGATGTACACCAAAACGTGCCGCCTACCTCGTCCGCCATGCAGCCATCTACGCAAACGACTTCGACTTCGAGGAGTACATCGAGCCCTTCCTCGAGAAGCTGGGGAACAAGACCGGCATTGAATGGAGCAAAATTCCATACTTGAACTTCTTGGCAGAGTGGGATGCCCCCGTCTCTGAGGCGGAAACGTCACTCCTGACACGCGTGGGGAGACTGGAGGCGACGCAGTTGGGGGTCGATCTCGAGTTTAGATATCCCACCCTGAGACTTCCCAAGAGAGTTTGGACTTCTTCCGCCGAAAGGACTGTCAAGTCTGCCCAGTCTCTGGTCCGAGGCCTTGAGAGTGATGATAACACGATGAACGTCGTTAGCATCTACGAGTCGAAGGAATCCGGTGCCGACAGCTTGACGCCCTATAAGGCCTGCCCGGCCTACTCTTCGACTGCTGGTAGCGAACAATCTGCAGCCTTCCAGAAGAAGTTCACCAAGCCCATCATCGCCCGTTTCAACGACCTGGCACCGGACTTCAATTTCACCGCCAACGACGTCTTCGGTATGCAGCAGCTATGTGGTTACGAAACCGTCATTCGGGGAAAGTCACCCTTTTGTGACCTTGACCTCTTCACTCCTGATGACTGGCTTGCTTGGGAGTATACGGAAGACATCAGATATCATTACAACGTTGGCTATGGCCTGGATGCGTCCGGATACATCGGCCTTCCTTGGCTCAACGCTACGGCGAACCTATTGCTGCAAGACGGTACCCTTGATCAGGACATTTACGTAAGCTTCACCCATCGTGAGCTGCCCCCGATGGTCGCGGTTGCGATGGGCCTTTTCAACAACTCCGAATTCGTCGGCAGCGAGTCGCAGATCAATGACACAATGCCGCTCGACCGCATCAACTACCGCCGCGCATGGAGGGCGTCCAACATCCTGCCCTTCCTTGGAAACATCGCGATTGAGCGTCTGAACTGCTCCGGGGCCTATGGATACGAGGATGGCGACTACTATCGTGTTCTGGTGAACAGCGCGCCACAGCCTTTGGTGGACTGTGCTGATGGGCCTGGAACCACATGCTCAAGAGACGGATTCAGCAAGTATCTGCAGGAGAGGGTTGACAAGTTCTCGGGCTTCTCAGAGAAGTGCGGTGTTGAATACGACAACAGTACCGACGTCTTATCGATTTATACCGACGCCTCTGTCGGTAACGGTACTGTAGTTGGGAAGCGATATGAGGCCTTTTGGCATTAAAGGCTCATGTGTAAATTTGTAACTTTAGAACTACATAATGTCTCTTACATACTACGAACGATGTTTGGACAACCAAACATAGCGATAATATGGCAAAGAAGCTTTTATTCTTTTGCTTGGTGGCCATCAGTCTTCACAGTCCACATCCTGTCGTTCGACCATTAAGAACGGTTGCAGTCGCGTTTCGCAAACAGGCTATGAATGTTACAGATTATTTCGACCACTGCTTTGCAATATTTCCATGGTAATGGAGTTGTTCTTTGACTTGATAAACTTGATAAATACTGTCAACTGGTATCTCGACATCCCATGCTACTGATATCGTGACTCCATGCCATCAGCATTTCACCATGGACCTGTCGAATTTCGTTACAGTCTGTTTACCTGCGCTGTTGCTACTATTTCTCAGCCTCAATGATGGAGCTCCAAGAAACAGGCTTTAGAATGTTCCAGATGTCGAGGTTAATGAGCGGGATGCGACTCAAGATGATGTTAGGTGTCCCCTTTGTCCTTGCGTCAGCTGATTGTTTGTTCAGGGAAAGCGGTTGAGGGCATCTTCAGATGGCAGTAACTTGGATGTAGGGAAACAGGTGCTAAGTGCGGTTCGCGAGAATAGCCATGTATAGTTGGAGAGATGGCAACGAAGGGCTGGAAAAAGATACCCCAAAAGGCTACACCAGTGGCTGTTTGTAGAAAAGCCCACTGACCTCATTGCCAAGTCTGCTCTTCTCGTTGGGCAAATCTTTTGTTGACTTAACAACCTAACGTGGCATGTAAAGCGATGCGTGCCCTTGGCGCATCAGCAAAACATATAAGTCAAAGCACCCACTTTCCGATTACCCCCACATTACGATCATGCATATCCACCTCATATCCACCCCCAGCCACCACCAACCACCATATATATACTATTACCACTTTTACAGTTCTTATCTAAATAACTTTATTTTTTTAGTATCTATTCTTTATTACCCTATAGTTAGATATACTAAGTTAAAGATTACCTAGGCAACAGATACTATTACTGCTAGCAGTAGTATACGCTAAGTATCTAAGACCTATAGTATCCTATTTACTACCCTCTAGAACTGTCTATCTGGCACCTAAAAGAGGGCTAATGCTTTTAAGGACCTCTAGTGACTACTAGCTACCTAGGAGGCTAGCCTAGCTAGTTAGGTAACTACCTAGGCTAACCTTAGGCTACTACTAACCTATTAACAACTAAGGGACTTTGCCTATTACATCCTTTATACTATAGGGGATACTTAACCTCTAGGCAAAAGGTAGGTAGATAGCTTTATTTAAAGGAACCTATTTATTAAGGTCTAGAGAAGTTAATTTATTAATTTAAGGTATATTAATAAAGTATTTACTAAGGTTATTAGGGACTAGTTTAAATATCTTACTATACCTTATATTTAGGCTATTAAACTAGCTAATAGATATAATATAGATAAGACTAGTATTCTTAAAGGTAAAGGTAATAATAGGCTAATACTAAGTAAAGCTATAATAAAGGTAGTAAGAAAAAAGTAGCCTAGATTATAAGCCTAGGTATTTATTATTAAGTATATATTTACTAAAAGTATTTTTATTTATCCTTTAGTTATATATAAAAGTAAAATAGTCTAGTAGTAGTAGTTTTCTCTTAATCTTATTCTATATAATAGATAAGAGTTTATAGTAATAGAGAATAAATAGACTACTAATAATACTACTATTAAATAGTTATAAAAAGTCTTTTTCTTTTAGACTAAGCCTTCTTAACCTAATTAGGCTAGACTACTTATCTTAGATAAGTATAAGAGCTATATAATAATAGATTTTATATAAATATACTATACTAATAATATTTATTTATTATTCCTATTACTATATACCTTCTATATCCTTTAGCTACTTAACTAGTTAGTCTTTAGCTTTATTAAGGTAGTATATTAGAAAAAGCTTAAATATCTTAGTTAGTAAATTAACTTTACTATTATAAGTAAAAAGAACTTCTTTTTTTACTATTAAAAGGCTTACTTAGCTAGTTTAACTATTAGTAATATTAAGAGTAGCTAAAAATATACTAAGTTATAGCCTATTAGTGCTATAAAGCTACTTATAAATAAGCTACTAGTTTAAAAAGTAATATTATTATTAATAATACTATTAATACTACTTAAAGTAGCTACTAAAGATACTTATATAGCCTAGGATGCCTATAATATAGAAGGATAAGTATTAGCCTTATTTATAGTAAAATAGTCTATACTAAAAAAGATAAAAGACCTTAGGGACTAACTATAGCTCTTTAGCTAACTAGAATAAAATATTACTATATAACGCTAACTATTTAAAAAGGTTAAAAAAGGCTTCTAAGAAAAGTTTTATAAGCTAGCTATTACTTAGTAAAAAATTAGCCTTCTAGAAGCCTAGGTTATTAATAGTATATCTAGGAAACAGAAGGCTATTTATATAGATGCTAATATAAAGTTTATAATAATTAAAGAGGTACAGTAAGCCTAGATAGAGGTAGGCAAGGTTAAAAGTAATGTAGATAAATCTAGTGCATCTAAATTACCTAGTGAGGCCAAAAGTTACATTATTGTAGCATCTAGATAATGTTAGTAGTCAATTAAATAAGGTGGTAGTTATCATAATGGCAATGTTTTTAGGTGATCGCAATGTAGGGGTGATCGGAAAGTGGGTGCTTTGACTTATCGATTGATTAACTACGTGATCCCGAAACCTGTTAAAATACATGGTCGTTTCATGCTTATCAGTCTGTTTTCCCCCACACGCGTCTCTGATTCAATTGAGACAAGCACGGCTGACGCGTTTGGTCATCATGTCGTAGTGATCATCCAATCCCCAAATCGGCGATCATTGGTACATGCCGGCTCCAAGCCCGGGCGCCGGATGACATCATATAGCTGTTTCTTTATCACAAGCTTGAACGCAGAAAGAACACTTCCACTTCACATTGAAACACGATACCAGACACACTGCACTTCAACCCGAGAATACACTGGCAACCACCAGAAACCATTCATCCCTACCCAATTCTACCACACACATACACACACAATATGTTTAACAGTACCATAAACCGAAGGGCAATGCCTTTGTTCTTGCGCCCAACTCGCTCAATAATACCATCCGCCGTGCGCGAGATGGCGGCTCCGTCAGCACGCCGCTTTTTGACCGAAAAGCCCGGCTTAGAATCCACAGATATTAGGGACATCGCCGATGCCAGAAAAACAAACCCCCCCAAGCCCAAGATCTCCAATGCTAGCGTGGGCAGTGAGAAGCTCACCGAAGAGCAAAAGCGCGAAGTGGATAAGCACAACGAGGACTTCGAGAAGAAGCACGATACTGCAGCCCCTGCCGAGAAGGACAAGGTCAACAAGAAATTTTGGTCGAAAAGAGATAGCGGAATGTAAGGATCCTTACAGCCAGAGGCTCAAAGTCAGGAATGATCGTGTCTTGGTGGGTGGTAGATATCAAGATATTCTCTAATATTACTACACTCTAGTACTAAGATCATAGTCCGCTACTGCCAAGCTATGTTCAATTAAAAAACAATCAAGTCATCGTTTCAATTCGATGTGTTGTGTTTCATGTCCAGTATCCAGCAGTTTTCTGGGTGGTTGTCTGAAGCCCGTCGTCAACATACCCGTCAGGGAACTCAGGTGGTGTGCTAAGCCTATTCATAGACCGTTCAGGCAAATACCCAAAAGATCAACCAATACTAGCACTTTGTGCTAGATTGTACTACACATACACTTATTAAGGAAAGCCCCTACTAATTTCCTTACAGATAGACTACAAAGAAGCATAATACTGCAGCTCTCACTAAAAGCTAGATTCACCAACCACCCCATTTCTCATGTTAGAGTTAGATTTTGCTCCTGCAAGGAGTAATATATAATTTTCATAAGATCTATTTACAGTTAGCTCCCTTCTAACTAAGTTTCAACCAATATTATTCCTAGTTGCACTGCAAAGATCTTACTTGCAAATTTACAAGATCTAGACCTAGCTTGCTGGACAGCTATTTCTCGCTTTTGTCCTCTCGCACACTCTACATCTAGCTCTGGCCAGGAAAAGGTTACGGTTGGCCTTCCTAGCCGCGCAACAAACTTACAGTGAGTTGGTGACTGAAAGATCTATCACTGGCTCTCAACTGACATGGTCAAGCAGAAGAAGCAACGATCCGGCCCACGAGGGGTGGATTGCTGACGGCGGCGCTTGTGCAGCAATTATGACAGCCATCGTCGTCGCCAGTGGCAAAGCGGCTGTAAGAGCCCTCGTCTTGCGAGCTTTTCTTTTGCTTCCTTGCCTTGAATGGGGTGTAGGTAGCATTAGCAGCAGGTCGCTCAACGTTGGTCTCGTTGGATGTTGGTGAGAACGCATAAAGCGCCTTGGCTTTGGCAGAGTTCCTGTAGGAGGCCATAGAGATGAAGCAAGTGACCGAAAGATGCTTATTGCTTTCCTTAGCAGGGTAAACAAAGGCTTACGCTTGTAAAAAAAACTCAGCAGGGGATGAAGAGAAGTTGGAACAGGGCTTCAGTGTTACACATAGCTCTGCAATTTTGGCTGTGCTTTCAATGGCGCCTTGGTTTTCTGGGGAAAGCGCGATCTTAGATCTATCCCAGACGCCAGCCAGCCAGACTGCCTTGCTAGTGCCCTTAAGAGACATTGTGTCATATGCAGTGTGGTAAGGTAAATGCTGCTCCTTTAACTGTCCCCCTATAATTTCTACGTCTAGCTTTCTGCTAAGTGCAACAATCCTGATTCCTTCAGAGGTCTTGGTGATGCTGCGCTTGCTAAGGAAGTGAAGGTTCTTGCAGATTTCCTCGTCAGCTTTAATCTTCACAGCAATTCGCAGGGGAAGGGGTGTAGTACCAACGGTAAAGCTTTAAGTTCGCCATTCAGAAGAGTATCAATAGCGCTCTTGTCGTCAACATCAAAGAGGTTGCCAGTGACAATTGCGAAGCTAAAGTTGTTCTTGGAGTGGAGCGTCGCAAGCTTTGTGAAGGCTGGCTGCAAGTGCCTATGAGCTTGCGGCCCTTGCTTGAGACCGGTTTTAGAGGCAAAGCCTTGACTACGCTCCTTTAGTGACTTCATCCGTTATGGAAGTCTGGATCCAGGAGTTGGCGTTGAATGCGCTTGCCTTTCTTCAGCGTTCCCATCCGACTCTTGCCAAAAGTCTGATGTGGCCCGTCCTGTCGACACACCAGGAAACTTGCCAGCCAGTGCATTTTTAACGTCGCAAAAGTTAGATCTGGCCCTTGCTAGGCGCCATTTCTCATGATGTCCACCGCATCTGTTTTGGAGGAGCAACGATATCGCCATGAATGTGGTGGTATTGGTGTGAAGCCCAGAGGAAAAAGGCTGCTGGCTGGCAAGGTAAAGAAGCTGGATATCTGGCAGCACGTGGCCAGACCAACATCTGTTGTGATGCCTTCATCGGCAGCACGCGCCAGGCGGAACCTACCTAGGGGTATTAGTCAGCACTGTCAGCTAAAAGCCTCTTGCTTATACAAGGGGTAAAAAATAGGGTTGCTACTATAAGAAAGAGGTTACTAACCTATATCCGCCAGGTTGATCTTCTTCGTTTCTTTCATGACGAAGAAGAACGAATTGTTATCTCGGGGCTTAGAGTTGGGGCGAGCGGGCTTGCCCTCAGTGAGATCGATTTTAAGACGCTCCTCATCACGCTAGATAGGGACGGAGGACCTAGGTAAATACGAGGTCAGGGCGATAGATTGACTGTTGCCCTCAGGTCATTGTCCATCTGTTGTCAACAGCTCGTCATAGTTATCTCAGGATAGCTTGAACGAATAGCGAGTCCAACAGCTTTAGAGAGGAGTGCGCATTTCTTAATCTGAAGAGAAAAGGATTAAAAGAGAAAAAGAGAAGACGCCTGGATGAGCTACCGGGCTCCCGCCCTCGGTACTCTGAAGCCATTGCCGCCTGGACCATAGTGGCCCGGCCAAGGGGGGTCGCCAGATAAGAGACACGCTCTACCATGATTCTTCTTTGGCAACGACAAGGGTCGCTTTGAATCACGTCAAACTCTAGAGAGCGTGATATTGGGTGTATAGTTTTGGATAACTAACATGTCTCTTTCTGATCTCTCTTTAAATGGATGCTAAAATGCTTTTTTGATTCGCAATGTCCTGCGGAATTACAGTAGTCCAGGAAATCTGCGACACGAAGTCATGATGTCTTGGTTTCCTCTCGCTTGGGAATAATACACCATTTTGTATGTGTCGCGCAAAAACGACGCCATTAGTTGCAGCAGCACAACTAACGCCTTATATTACCTTATTATAATACACCCCCCTAGATCGCAGGTGGCCCTACTCATGTAGATCTGCTCTAGGTATGGAAGCCCTATACCCCCCTAAAACTACACACTCCCCTAGGGCAGATACTACTATAACTCTTTAACCTTCTAATTAGGTATATCTTGCTAAAGTCTAGGTAGTTGCTGTCTAACTTATCTAGGTGGAGTATTTACAACCTGTCTGTCCCTAGCCTTAATGGGATTTAAACCTATAGGGTCTATAAAGCTCAGACGCTAGCTTAAAGGCTATACTATTAAGGTATATAGCGTAAACTAGGCTTATAACTGTTGCGTAAAAATAACGCCGTTAGTTATAGTAGTACAACTGATGCCTTATATCACCTTATTGTGACAGTATGCCAACATAGCAGAGATTAATACCAGCGCTGAACATAACACTGATACACAATTCTTCACGCCTCATCAGTACACACCCACAGGTAACTGGATTTGATTATGTGTCCGCGCAGTTCGCAAACCGTTTCCTTTGATAATTAAGTCTATAGTAATGCAACCTATAGCAGCCCCGTGATAGTGGGTTCATGCAATCCGCACTCTTCCGTTCCTGATCCGAATCCGTTAGTTGTGGAAGCGGAAACAGTGTTCGTCCGACGCCGGGCCCTCTTGCATGCATCGACTAAACAAGTTGGTTGTGTCACAACATGAGATGGTCAAGATCATCCACCGTAATAGCGGTCGCTTTCTGGCGGCTTTGTTCAGTCTGCTGACTACTGCCGATCCCAGGACCGTGTGGTGCGATGACCTACAACCCCAAAAATCTATCAGAGACACTGTTCGGATGCACTGTGGTGCGGAAGCGCGGAACTCGTCCAAGAGCGGTTGCGGTTATTGTACCAAGCCAGTTGCGGGCCGCGCACTGAGGGGGTAGATAGGATCTCGGATGCTTGCCGAGACCCGTCTCGGGGTCTTGGTGATTACCAGCTCCACTATCATTGGTCAAGATCGGGGATTTCCATCGGTCAATCTGGGAAACAGGTATCATGATGGGTTATCGATAAAGATTATCCAGCGGTGGTTGCGCTTGTAGGCCGCTGATGTCCTTACCCGCGGGTCTGACGAGGTGTCTCGGGACGACATTGAGCTGTTATCGACAGCTCCGTTACAAGCCGAGGGCACGGATGGGCCAGAGAGACGGGAGGGTGTGTCGATGCTCGATGGGGCAGCCACCAGTCATCGCGTTGATGACAGACAGGTCTTAGTATACATAGGATGACTTGCTCGTCATTTGCTAGTCTCGTGTATCTGAAGTTCTCCAAGCTCTCATGCTCAATCATCGCTCTATTTTGGCCAAGGCTCAAATTGCCTGATTTAATCGATACTTCTTTGTATCACCAAACGGCCGTCATGGGATCTATTCCAGCTGCAGGATGGAGAGAGCTCAATGTCGGTGTGATCGGTGGTGGCATTGGCGGAGCGAGCGTTGCAATTGCTCTCCGCCGCGCTGGCCACAATGTTACCATCTACGAGCGCAACGACTTCGCCGGTGAAGTCGGTGCATCCGTCTCATGCGCCGCGAACGGCACCCGCTGGCTACACGAATGGGGAGTGGATGTTGCAAAAGGCGATCCCGTCATTTTGAAGAGCCTCATTAACCGAGACTGGAAGACGGGCGAACCAGTCAGCGTCTACAGCCTCGACGACTACGAGAAGCGCTGGGGCTACGTTTACAACATGTTCCATCGTCAGTACATGCATGCGATGCTCAAAGACACAGCGTTGCAGGACGAGGGCAAGGGAAGTCCTGCAAAGCTGCTCGTCAACCACAAGGTAAGACGTTTTGCTTGCCATCTGCAATTTCTTTGCGCCTGACATTCCCTGCAGTGCAAAGGCATCGACTTGGGCGCTGGAAGGGTCGAGTTTGAAAACGGCCACTCTGCGACACATGATCTCATCATTGGCGCCGACGGCATCGGCAGCGCGGTGCGGGGCTTCATCGGCGTTCACCCGGAGAAGCGCCCCGCCGAATCCAGCTGCTTACACGCCAACGTCCTCACAGAGGATGCGATCAAGGCCGGGCTTGTCGACTACTCCCAGGATAGTGCGCTTGAATACTGGGGTGGGCAGGAGGGCAAATGGGACAAGATCGTCCTCTCTCCCTGCAACGGCGGAAAGCTTCTATCATACTACTGTTTCTTCCCGAGAGAAGTCGGGAATTATGTGAACCAGGCCTGGGGTGTTGAGGACCGTCCTGTCGAGGAACTGCTCGCACCGTTCCCTGAGCTGGACAAGCAAGTGCGCGCTCATCTGGCTATCGGCAAGGACATCCAACCTTGGCGTTTGTGGATGCAGTACGTTGTCACGCATACTCGGTCATTGGTTCTCTGTATTCAGTGCTTACCTTGTGCAGTGACCCATACCCCTACATCAACAAGAGCATGGTTTGTCTCCTGGGCGATGCAGGACACCCTGTAAGTTGAAGAGGCTCCTTCTGCTGTTGGAACGCCACTGACTCGAGGCTCCATCCAGATGATGCCTCACCAGAGCCAGGGTGCATGCATGGCCATCGAGGACGCCGCAGCGCTTGGAATCCTCTTCCACCCAAACTACTTCAACGGAGACGTTGCAGAGACTCTAGAGGTCTACAACACCGTCCGCCTGCCCCGCGCCACGCGTGTCCAGGCCGCGGCTGCGAAGGCGGCATCCAATATCAACGAGCGTATTGGTGAGCACTGCAACCTTGACACAACGCAGCAACCCTCTCGCTGACTCTCAGCCCAGGTTTCTCGAATAACACCAACACGAGCACCTACAAGGTGGCAGACGAGAAGGCGAAGCTCACGATCGAGGAAATGAACGCGTCCGTGCTTTGTTCTGTATCCACCTTTTGGGGCGTAAGCTAACGGCCTTGCAGTTATGACATGTACAAGGATATCGAGCAGGCCATCGCCGAGCGGCAAGGAACACCATTCACCCAAAAGTTCATCAGGGGCTTGCCAGTCGGACTCGAATTGTCTCCCGGTGTCATTGTCGGACAATGATGCAAGATGATGGTACTCGATGTATGTATGGGTGTGAATCTCGGCGTTAATGAGTTACCAGGAATTTTGGTGCGTTGGCAGTATTACCACGTTATTGCACACTATTGGGTCGCGTTTTGAATAAGTTATACACATCAACATGCACCATGTTTTGTTATGAAGGCTAGGTGTGTGGCGTCCGAAGAGGCCGGAAAACTCGTCTCAGGGTTCGTCGCCCATGCTGCATCTCCCGACCGAATCTACTCTGTAGATGTACTCCGACCCATTCAATCGATCTCTTTTCGAGTTGTCGCAGGAGGTTGGGTTCGTTTGCTATTGCAGACCCCATCGCAGAGCCTCTCGTCTCGCAACATCTCGGCGTGAACGCCCGCCCCAATGCCAGCTAGCCGGCGAAGCTACACGATCTCGATCGGCTTTCCAATGCCTCCTTTCGGCATCGATAGGCCGCCAGACCCGGCCTCTTCGCGCCTCGCTTTGACTTTACCCCTCTTCCATTCCTTGGTTGACGACGCCGAAGTGGTGTTGATGAGAGCGCAGTGTAGCCTCACACTCCGCGGGCGTGTCGTTGCAGAGAGATGCTCACAAGCAAAAAGCGGTAGAAACCGTCGCCGTCAATGTTTCATGCAGCCAAGGCGCGAACGCACACAGCGGTGGAGGCGATCGCTAAATGCGACTGCATCCCCCCCTGCTGGCAGATGGTGCGGACGGCGCAGATGGCGCAGTTATCCGACACGAACTGCGCTAACATTGTCACCAAGTGGACCTCGAGAACTCTGCAGGTGTTCCGAGCTCCGGTGGGGGGCCAAATCCGGCAAGGGTTGTCGAGAAAATCTTCCAATCTTTCCAGGAGCCCCGGACGCGTCGTCGGCGAAACGGTGCCAGCGGTGAAGAAGGGAAGGGTGCGCAAGGCGGCGATTATGCGACTCTGCTTTGGTGCCCAATGTTCAACCTCCAATTCGTTTGATCTTGGTACAAGTCCAGTTTGGCCAGCCACTTCAGTGGGCCGTATCCTCGGCGTGTCCAGGACCGTTGGCCTCGTCAATGTACGGGACGCTCAGCATTGATGAAGATGATTTGCCATTGGGCCTTGGTGGATACCGTTTATCGCCGTGTCTCAGGCTGAACCAACGAGTACATATAGATGAGCGTCGGGTCCTGGGTTTGCATTGCATTCTCTCTCTAGTTTCCTCATCTCTGTTTGGCCCTGACCTCCAAGACCCTGCATAACTGCTTTCACGTCCAGGTGGCAGTTGCTGCTTGTTCTCTGGCGTCACAATTTCCGTTTTGTTTCCGAGTTTCTTCTTTTGTCTTTTCTGATATTACGACCGTTGATACCCCTCCACAAAGTCACAATGTCTCCTGCGATATTCGATTCTCACCGGAGAACCCCCTCTGGTCAAGAGACCGAACGTCGGAAATCTGGAAGCGGTTTTCTTTTCCTCAACAACCGATTCAAGAGGTATGTTTTGTTTGTTTGTTTTCTCTCTAACCCAGTTGGCCCGGCCGCAACGTCTTTCTTCACCGCTCTTCATCTTCCCTCTGTCTCTCCCCACCACCACCCCTGCAGCAATGCTCGCTTCACTCGTTCCCCCTTGTTTAATGCCGGACCCTGGACCCGTCTCGTCAGGGCCCGGATGCAGTAGCGGCGCCGGCCTCGACAAATCCCTACCAAAGATGCATGCCCTTCTAGTTGTCCAACGGTCGGATAGCTGCAAGCCTTCTAGTTAGTTGGCTTGCATATTTGACGTGTCTTTGACGCCTTCGAGACCCAACCTAGCCCAAGCCCATCTCCAATCATCGTGCCTCTCTTACACGGGTGTTCGTAGTCCACCAACACCACCCGAGGGTAACGCGCCTGAGTCCTTTGGCCAGTATCGCTACTGGCTGGACGAGGATGCAATGATCGAGGGCCCTCAAGGAGGGCGCCGCTCCATATCACCCATCTTGCGACATCCTAAAAGAGTCTTGCCTCCAACAAGGCCGCCATCAGTGCCTGCCCGAATCTCATCCCTTCGGTAGCGTTCCTCTGCTATGCCCTCGTTCTCCATGCCTCTGCAGTATTGCCTCAGCTCGTTCGCATTGAACTTGAGTAGGCCTAAATTGTTATGATTGCAGTATCAGCATGGGAAAAGACTAGTTCTAACATATTCACAGAGCCCCTACTACAAAAACCACCAACGAAAATGCCATATCTACTCCTCCTACTCCCACCTTTGGGCCCGTCAAGGATGGCTACTTCATGAAGAGGTCCGACTCGGCTCGCAGCATCCCTTCTCTGCTCCAGCCAAACGACGGCGATGCCGAGATAACACGACCCATGACCGCGATGCCTGGCAAGGAGAAGGGTTTTCTTGACACCAAGGAGCCTGCTGTTCCCTCCGTCGACGGGGAAATCGCAAATTCCGGAGCCGAGAAGGACGCAGCGTCTGCCCCTGGTGCCTCTGTTACAAACGGGGCCGAGCACGCCAAGTCCAAGGCTGTGTCCGTGGCAGAGACTGCCCAGACCGCGGAGGATGACGCTGATGACTCGTCTTCAGAGGATGAAGACGACGACAAGAACGAAACCCAGGCCCAAGAGACCCAGGGGGCCCAGCTTGCAACTCGCGTTGCGGTTGTGCCTCCGCGTCCCGCAACCCCTGAGGCCGACAAAAGGATTTCCTACCACGAGGATGCCGACCTTCACATTAAGGTTCGCGATGTGAACGGTGCCGTCGTCGTTTACTCTGTCCGCTCTGCCGCCCTCGCTTCTGCTTCCCGCGTCTGGAAGGGGTTGCTCGCCGAAAACACGGCCGCTGTCATTGAGCTGCAGTCCACCGCGGACACCGCTCATGGACTTGATGTGCTCTTTTCCCTCGCACATTACAAATTCCACGAACTGCCTACCATGCCGAATGTCGGCGACCTTTACGACATTGCCCTGGCTTCTGACAAGTATGCCGCCACCCACCTGCTTGTCCCTTTCATGAGAGACTGGGTTGTCGCCTTGAACCGCCATGTCCTCATGGCTGGAGCCCGCAACGACGAGGACAAGACCCTCGTTCTTAGCTGGGTATTCGGTGAGGCTCGTTGGTTTAGCCGCGTCCTGGCCAAGGCGGCTTACAAGTCGCGCGTCGGTGCTGACGGCAAACTGCTCGACTCCAGAGGCCGTCCCTGGAATGAGCAGCCCATCTCGGACGATGTCATCAACATGCTGGCTGCTACTCGTGCCGAGGCCGTTGACAAGATCATCAAAGCTGTCAGCAACCCTGTTCACCGTCTCCTCAACCCCTCTTGTTACCCTGGTGAAGAGATTCGCTACTGCCATGCCGGTACTGATGACGGAACCTCCGAGGACTGCGAGCAGCTTCTCCTCGGGTCCGCCATAATGGGCTTGACCAAGGTCAAGCTTTGGCCGCCCCCCGAGCCTACAAAGATCAAGGTCAGCGCCGTCGACCTCGCTAGAGCGTACGGCGAGGTCCGCATCCGTCGTTACCAGATCCCTGGTCTGCGTTTCAGGGATAGCACAGCTGACGGCGCGACGGTTGAGGACCCTCACGCCAAGTGCGGTTTCGGTCACCGCGAGGTGATTGAGAAGATTCTCAACACCCCTGCCAAGATGGCTTCCGGCGTCGTCGGCCAGCTCATCACCAGAGCCAAGAAGTCCGGTGCGTTTGATGAGGAGCTTTTCGCGGATTTGAAGGAGTACGTGCAGGATGGCGGAGCTGCAGTTGAGGGCGACGACTTGAAGAGCGATCCCGTTCACTACAAGCAGGTCCGTGTCAGGACTAACGGTGTTGTTGAGAACAAGACCCCCGCCGATGGTGAGTTTCCTTGTGCACAAATTTCCAGATTATTGGCCAATAAGCCGTCTGTTTGCTAACATCAACTAGATGATGATGAGGATGAGGATGATTCCAGCTCCGAGAGCGATGACGAGTAACTTTGAGGACCGCAACTTCCATCTACAGAGATTGCTTATGAGAAGTTCACGTATTACGGTTTTGTCCATGATGTCACCAAGCACGATTCATTATGATGAAATACCCTTATAATGTGCCTAGATTTCCTTATATATGTTTCATTTGTTGAATAGATATGAAAGGCTTCTCATAACTTCCCAACCTGTTACCTTCACTATCAATTAGGACAGTATCCACCTACGACGAATGAAATCTATTATCACATACATCGTTACCAACCCTGCACTCTTAACCCGCGCTTCCGACGGTATTCAGTTCATGCGGTGCTTGCGACCAGAGGGCCAGCGTCTAGTGTGATGTCACGGTAGGTAAGAGCATGCAGACTTGGAGCCATTGATTCTTTCCAAAGTTTGCCAGGGTGCTCGCGGGGTCATCAGAAACATATGTTGCAACGCAAGCCAGCCCAAGACAAACGCGCATATGTTGAGAACACTTGGCAAGGTGTAAGTACTCAACTTGTGTGTAGTGAAAATTTTACTATTCGGATATCTTAGTAAACAAAACTCCTGACTCTTGATCGTGTGATCGGATATCATGGTCCAGCCGCTTTTCGACTCCAGTCCTTAGCTCCAGCTTCTGAAAACGGTGAAGCGACTACTCCGGAATACCATTCGTCTTGTATCGTTGCCCTTTCCGTATCTGTTTCCACTTGTGCTGGCGGGGGACGGCGAACCCGTTCGAAGGGAAATATATAGCTTCTTCTCCCTTCTTCTTGGGGTAGGGATGGAGGCTCCTCGTAGGTAGCGTCCTCCTGTCTGACTTCTGTTGTTGCCAAGTGCTGGGTCCTGAGCTTGCTGCCTTTCAGAAATCTGAGCTCGATTATTCTATTGCTTCTGCGAGTGTTCTGAGCCGAGTCTCGTGAGCCGTTACAGCCCCGAAGAAAGAGGATATTAATGGCAGGAAGGCAAGCGCAAATCAGACCGATGCTCACTTCCGCTGTCCTGGCTGTGTGGTAAGTCTCTGCATATAGTCCAAGCAAAGGGCTAGAATGAGCATACCCAAGAAGAGTCACGCGCATGAGGCTTACTGTGGCATCATCCGCTTCCTCTAATTTGATCACGACAACCAGCCTAGCAAGGCTCGCGGCCGTGGCAACACCTCCGGAGCTCAGCATAGCAAGGACCTTGAGTCGTTTATGCCAAGACATTCGGAGAGTAACGGCAACGGGTATAGGAAGACATAGAACGGCCATATCTGTGGCGGCGCTGATAGTGGTATCCGCTAGATAAATGTCTCGCTTATTGAGACAGGTGGTCTTAATTGCTGGATCCCAGTATCCAGCGATCGGCTGGCATATAACTGTCTTAATAAAGAAGACGGGAACGGTATATAAAGTCAAGAAGACGATGAAAACATATGTTCCGATAACCGTTTTACGGTGTAGTTTGAAGATTCTTATCGTGGTCGAGAGGAGACTGAGCTTCGTGAAATAAGACGAGGGACTATAGGAGAGGGTTGAAATATAAGACCCCAGAGAGGACGTGAGCCTGCTGGATGCTGGCAATTGGGAAAACATAGCAATTAATTACCTTCTTGAAGCCTATCAAGTTTTCCTTTGAGACTTCATAGATGTGAAGACCACCACCGAACTGACCCACTTGCAAGTGAGTAATTAGCATCATCACACTTCACAGTTTCAATGCTTTCGCTACCGTTACTCACTAACGATTGCCGAGGAGTACCACGCTAGGGCAAAGATCTGCCTATTCTTCAGTCCCCCAAATCTGTCTCAAGTCCATTCCCAATAAGCAATTTTCTTACCCAAGCTACTAATGATATCCCTAGGCAAAGAATTTAGAATTTCGTCGTCGGCGTTCTGGGACGTGGCTGCACTCACAGTCGTCGGTATGAAAGGGTGGCGCAACGAAGGTCTTTACATACAAACGCAACGCCATAAAGATACTGACCAGAGTCAATGCCAGAATGTTCGATACTAAGGTGATATTATGTAAAACATCTTCAGGCTTCTGTAGATTGGGCAGTGTGCTGTTGGGTGAGTAGGCTGCGCCGCCCTGGTCAGACATGTTGCCGAGCAGTGCAGAGTAATCGACATGTCTGATGGCCGGCTCCCTCGGACCGCCTCGAGTGCAGTAAGGCATAATATATCACTTTCCACAGTAAATTTAGCTTCGTCGGAAGTTCCTGAGCGATTGCGGCCATCAGTGGCTACGTCCCCAACTCCGAAGCACCTGGAAACGATAGAAAGTTGGTGGAAGGCTTGACGGGAATAGTAGATATAATAAATGGGTGGTGAGACACCATTAATGCCAGTCTTAGAGTTGTGGAAAACATGGACTGTCCTGGACTAGAAACTCTGTTTTGAACACACGGCTAATGAAAGAGACCAACTAGCTCTTGGAGCTTACCCCTAAGTTCTTGATTCTGGAAGCCGGGACTGGGCACGGCGGTATTGCAGGCTTGCAGCAGAGAACGCCCGTCAGGTAAGTGGCGGAAACCTTCATTGATTGTGTCGAATAGGCCCTCGGAGTCTAATTACGCGACTCTTACAAGACAGGCGAAAGAAACCGATACGTTTTTGGAGCCATCCTATCTTCCTCATTATATGGTTTCGGACTAAAACGATACATTGACGGCTAGGGATGAGGATCATGTCTAATACTCGCTCATCTAGAATCGAGTCACTGATTAGGTTTTGGTGTGATACTGAACTCTGGTAATCAACCTTAAGCCAAAAACAGCGATAGGCTGCGTTAACGACTTCAATATAGAATTTAAAAACTCAGATTCTGGCAATCCAAAGAAGCTTCGAGTTTGCATTAGCCCAGTGCATGACTTGTGTGTTGAACTCACCAGCCTTCTGCACAACAGAAACTGATATACGGCGATAAATACTTTGTTTTTTCGGACACATAAAAGCCATACAATTAAGAGCTTACTATGTAAGGTGTGGCCAACTTTGCCCCTCGAGTAGGCCATTAATAGAGTGATGCGATTGAGTACATGAGAGCGCCCAACTGTTGCGAACAAAACAGTTGTGGCATGATAGCTCACGACCACATCATGCCAAGAAAGGCGGCTCGTACTGTGGCTTTGTCTGCCATTAACGACTGGAGCTGGGATGAACTTTGTACGGGAACAATGGTCAACTGTATAAGTCATTCTGGATCTAAATATTCTAACAAGAGAAGTTTTCGGTTCCATCAGACATATTATGTTCTCTACTAAGTATAGCGGAACAACTCCAGACTCATGATAGTTATGAGGGAATTAAACAGCAAATCGAATCTCACTCACTGGCCAACATCAATTCTGGGACGCATGGTTGAAATACGTACTGATGTCTTCATGGCAACTTTCTGCACTTTCAGCAATGAATACCCTTACAATATATCTTTGTTTACATTGCTGATTTCGGTACCCTCCCATTTTCCGGTGACATCTATGTAATTTCTTAATGTACCTATAGTAGTGCTGATTGTATCAAACTTTTCTGGAAGCTTCGAATGCTCGATTCGAGAATCTTTCTTCAGGCTCTTCGGACGGTGCGGCTGTAGGCCCTTCCCTGCCTCTTGAACCCTCACATATTTACCGCGTGTTGTCTAACATGAACTGGATGAAAATCTTCGATGATATCAATCAAACCGAACGTATACCGAGATATACAATGATTGTAGTATAGTTGTGGTTATATGACTTACATATGTTATCGGTAATATGGTACGGTCATAAATGTAGCCTCGTCTCCGTCCAACCACTTATGCTTTGCACCTAGTTTTATAGTACTGCAGCTAAGATACAGGTAACTAATATAGATAGACACATTAATCAATCTGTATTTGGTTCAACGCTAGGACTCCTCCATTCAGAGAGCTTCGTCAAGTGACACTGTAGATATTTCTAAATACCCTATCTGATAGTCGGCTGATATAGCGCTACTCTGGGGTACGCCGTGCATTTTCTTGCATCGACAACTCATGCTGGTAGGACTTGTATCTCACAATAATGCCTGGGTAATTTATGCAGGTATAGGATTATTATTTATGGAACTATCCATAGAATGGCTCTGCCTGATGGCTCACTGCGATAGTGACTTCAGCGACACGATACATACGACCCAGATTGTTTCGCTTTCGGCGGGAAGATCGAGCCTGGAAATACTATTTTGTAAACGACCCGCAAGTAGTGGGGGATAGCCACTTCTCCATATTAAACTACCTAGACAGCAATAACCCCATTAGGCGTCAAAGGGGGGGCGTGGTTGTGAATGACTAGGGAGCATTGTAGCCGGAACAAGTTATCCTGATGGTGACATTGAAGTCACAGAGTACAAACCTTTACCTACTATCATTGGTGTGTCGAGGCGCTAAGTGAACAATACGATGTCTTGCAGGCTCTGTTGACTAGTTGACTGAATGACGCTGTCATATCTCCCAACCATCGTTTGATAGTCGCCCTTGGGTCCTAGCACGAGAAGAGTGGGAAAAGACAGGCTTGAAGCATAGAATTTAGTTGATTCACGATATCTCCCAGTCCATCAATGGAATCTGTTGCTGTCCATTCTCCTTGTGATCGGCTGTCGTTCAAAAGACTGGCGCACGAAGGCCACGTTGTCGAAGTTGTACAAATCTCATTGACAAGACACAAGTATAGTTACTCGACGCGAGGAACTTGGTCAACAGGCGACGATCAAGGAACCTTGGGAGAATGAAAGGGGTGAATTTCAGAGGGTACGTCACCAAGCATATGCATGCAGCCTGTGACTTGTCACACAGCAACCGCCACTCAACGGCCTTACTCCCATGGACACCAAAGGCATGCCGCAAACTTGCGCTTCCCTCCGACCACCGTGTCACTGTATCTATGGCAACATGAATCTTCCTTCTCTGGCAGTGATGGATGAGGCGAAAGATTCAGCTACGGCTTGTAATGGAGCTGCTTTGGTTACGGCATAGGCGAGGCTCAATATAATATATTGTCTGAGCCTATTCCATTTTATCAATGCAACAGCCTTCATTGGCGGCCAATGCTTGATGCCTCTTGGGTCAACCTACCAAATTTGGGCCCATGGTAATGTTGACAGGGGACGATGAGAAGCTTTCAATTTTCATTTTGATTAAGCCTCAATTTTTATTCACATAAGGCTTCATCCTTCACTTAGCCCCAGAAGTTACCATGGCTTTACACATGGTAAATGATGATGTACAAACAGCGATGGACTCCACTAGAAATCTGGGGGTGGTTCCAGGACAGGGTACCAACATCCCAGTGAACAGTCACTTGTCCGCCTGACTTCACTTGTTGGACAAGAAATGGACAAGTGTCTAATGTAAAGCAACATGAGACCAATGAAGTGGAGGTTGCGGGTTCCAGCCCCCGAATTCCAAGCGAGATCCCTCGGCGTGATGATCCGGCCATCAGGATACGGCCAGGCAACTTGAGACGTCAGCTTCAACGCAGCCCAATCTCACGGACCGTTTATGGGGGAGAAAATGTCGCCGATAGGCAACGGAAGCAACTTCTCCTTTGCTCCAAGCCCCAAGGGCTCAGCACAAGGATAGAACTGCGATGGAAACTCGAGGCAGGAGGTTGGTCATTATGAGGCCTGCCTGGGTCCGGACTCAACGACAGAGTGTACACTACATTGTACACAAGTGTGGCATCGAGCTCGGCCCGCAGAGCGGGCGAATCAAACAACACCACGTCCAAGTCATGACCCCTGGTCATTCTCCGGGAACGTGCAGCCGGGTCAGTGCAATCCCATGTAAGTTGCGTCCCAATTGCCTCGAGCTAGCCCAAGTAAAGCACAGTGATGCCCAACCCACAACAACATGCGCACAAAAGGGAAAAAATAGAAAACGAAAACAAGGCCAGTCATGTTGAGTTCCGCCTGTTTGCCCTGCCGGAGCGACTGGCTGGAATGCCCATGTCTCCGGCATTCCTGACTCATCTCACCTCACAGCAGCCTATCTGATTCGTTTTCTTATTCCCATGGTGCCCTGTTCGACCCCTGCAAAATAGGGCTTTGAGCATGTTTGGCCCCCCGAAGAAGCAAGCTAAAGCAAGAGGATGGACAAGCGCCGACGATGGTGTTGGCGAGACTCTTCTGGCGCAGATACGAAGCAAAATACGTATACATCAAACTGCAAGATACAGCGCCAGATATTGGATACCGTCCAGCAACAGGAGACTTACACATGTTTTCTTCCGCCACCTGGGGCTATTGCATAGAGGTAATCTTACGCTCAGTTGTCGTCACAGTTAATGCCCGTTTGCCCAAAGCCACGGGCATGTCCTAACCCCCTGGTCTCCCGCATTTTAGGCCCCCGGCAGGCGGGATGCGAGAATGGATTCTGGACGGGGGAGGGGGTTCCAAAGAAACCACGGGGCTGCCGTTGGCAGGGGTGATGTGGCCATGGAAAGCTGGGCTTGTGTCTCTTCACAACAAAATGGTCCAATCAGTCCGATCACCCCAACCCGAGTAGCCGTGGAGTGACGACGTTGCGATTGCAACATTCAACGCTACTCTCTGTTCCGGCTACATTCTGAGATCTCCGCCAAACGGGTTCGGGGAGGCCTTTCGGGCCCGCCCCTAGTGCCACACCCCATCCCTGCCGCTCGCTCAGAGGGACCGGCTTAACGGGCTCGACGCTCGAGGACTGCTTGATGTTGATTAACCTGTGTGCCCTATTGGACGGGGGTAAGCGCGCTGGGGCGGCCACGGGGCGAAGGCGGGCAGTGTGTAATATCATTTTCTGCCGGTTGGGCTGTTGTTGTACGATGATCCCTCCGCCTCCCTCTCTCCTTTTCTTCCCTCCCACAACAACGTACCCTGGACATTTTGAACAAAACCATCTCGCCGCCTACACCCAGACTTCTCTTTCCGATCTCATCATTATTTGATAGTAGATCCGAACAGACCCGCTATGCAATATTACCCCTCATCGAATTACCAATACACTTTCAATGTCACTCGCAAGATTCATCAGCCCCAGATCAGACGTCCAGCTTGGCACATAGCTTGAGAAAACTCACAAAAGAAGAATAGCATCATTACTTACTAGAGCTTTTGAGCTTGAAAAAACCTCCTCCATATCGTCATCTTATCAACGACTCCATGGCTCCCACTCGTGACACTGCGCCCGCGAAGGGCCGCAGTCGCTTCAGACTGAGGCGGCCCTCAGTCTCCATCCCAGACAGCACTCCTTTGGAATCACTCGACTTGTCAAACGCCAACGTTTCCGACATCTCACTCGCTCCCATGGATCGTTCGGCAGACAACAGATCCGACTTGAGTGCCAGCTCATCTGAGGGCTGGAGACGCAAGGACGGCAACGCAAAGCCTCCTCTCATGTTCAAGCCCCCTGCCCTCCGCTACCGCCAGTCTCGTCCAGAACTCAACCGGCCATGGAGGCGCTCTACTGAGACTGTTTATCCTTCTGCCGACGAAACAAACGACTCGGATGTGGAGTCAAAGTACAGTTTTGACTCTCACTCCACCATCACGAACGCTACCAGCGTCGAGGACTTTGATACATACCCCAGCAAGTCTGACGCTCACACCTCAGCAGTCCGGACTAGGCCGTTGACTGTTGAGAAACAAGTCGTAAAGACAAATACCGTTCCACCTCCCCCAGCCAAGCCCGCCAACCTCAAAGGTGCCCGTGTCGACATTGTCGCCCCCAGCAGGCAGATCGTACATATCGAGGTGGCGCCCGCAGCCCCGGCCCCTCCCGTGGTACAGCGCATAACTTCCCATGACCTTCGCGAACGTGAGAAAGTCGAAGATGGGCTTCTCAAAGAGATCTCCCGTATGAAAGAGGAGACCAAGAGCCTCCTCGGCAAGCAGTCTGATACCGACAAGAGGCTTGAGGACGCCCTGGAGAGACTTTCTACTCTCTCTGCAGACAAGGCGAAGATCGAGAAGGACGCCCTGGAGAGACTTTTTATCCTCTCTGCAGACAAGGAGAAGATCGAGAAGAAGCGCCGCGAGGAAAAGAACCTCAAAGACAAGATCGCCCGCGATTTCGAGGAACAGAGCCGTCTCCTAAATGACGTCAAGAGCTGTCTCAGCGAACATGAGAAGAAGCTTAAAGATGTTGCACGTGAGCGAGACCAGCTCAAGGGCCTCAAACAACAGCTGGAGGCCAAGTCCAACGACCTTGAGAAGCAAATTGCTCTTGAAAGGGATGCCAAGGAGGAGGCCGCCAACAAGAACGCCATCCTGCAGATGGACATTGCCGAACAAGAAAAGATCAAGAAGCACTTTGAGACTAGGTGTCGCGACCTAGAGAGGAGTGTCGGCGATGCTCATTATGTAACCAAGGAGACTGAGCGCGCCCTCATCGAGAGGATCGCTGCGCTGGAGTTGACGAAGGAGAGCCTTCAAATGCGCGTTACGGGACTCGAGAAGGAGCTCATCCGTAAGGGAACCGAGATCGGAGACATTACTGCTGAGCGTAATCTCTTGCGTATGGATGTCGACAAGTACAAACCCCAGGTCGATCAGCTCAACAAAGAAAACGGTGCCTTGGCCGAAGCCAACAAGGGCCTGCAATCCCGTATCGACGATCTCGACCAACAGAAGAAGGGTCTAGAAGCCAACATCGAGAAACTGGAGACCGAGAAGAAAAGCGCTCTGGACAGCTACGATGCTCTCGAAACCGAGAAGAAGGGCCTCGAGGCGGACATCGAAAAGCTCAACACTGAAAAGAGAGATATCCAAGACCGGTTCAGTGCTCTCGAAGTTGAGAAGCAAGAAGTCGAGGTACGCCTCACACAACTCGAGACCACCAATACCGAGATTCAAAGTCGGTTTGAGAGCCTCGAAGCTACCAAGGGCGAGCTTGAAGTCAGCAAGGGAGAGCTTGAGACCCATGTCAAGGACCTTGAGGGTATCAAGGTTAAGTACGATACCCTCAAGGCCCGCGTTAAAGCCCTCAAGGGTGAGAATACAACCCTCGAGACGCAAATCGGCTCGCTTCTCAAGGACCAGGACGACAAGAGTTCCCAGATCCTCAGCCTCGCGGAGGAACGTAACAGCCTTCGTTCCGAGAACGCATCGCTCAAGGATGAAAACGAGTCGGTGACGAGCGAGCTCAGGCGCGCAGAGTCGCTCATGGGCTCCGTTGCCGGCTCAGCTGCACCCTCCGTTAGAGGCTCGGCGGCCCCATCTGTCGTGGGGTCCACCGATGACAGTGACACGGACACAGTCAAAGGCGAAGATGAAGCACAGCCTGCGACCGAAGAGGAGGCATCTGCACCTCCGGCAGAGGAGGCTGTTGCGGCTTCAGCAGAGGAGCCACCTGCACCTCCAGTAGAGGAGCCACCTGCACCTCCAGTAGAGGAGACTGTTGCGGCTCCCGTTGTCGAGGAGTTTAAGGATGATGCTGCCAGTATCAAATCCACAGCACCGTCCGGAGCGGTCCCCGAGCCCGAAGTGGCAGAACCAGAGGTGACAGCAGTCGAGGATGATACCGCCACCGAGAAGGCCGAGTCCGTGTCTGCTAAGTCAACTACTCCCTCCGAGTCGGCCGTCATGGAGGAGCTCCGCCAGCGTATCACTGAGCTACAGGATCGCAACGAGCAGCTGCAATCCGAGACTGTCAAGCTTGGCTCTCTTATGGCTGAGAGAGATGATTTGGCCACTCGCGTCGCCACGTTGGAGCCGGAGGCCGGTCAGGCGCCGCAGCTACGCGAGGAGAACGCGACCCTGACTTCGCAGCTGGCCCTCGTCAACACACAACTCGACGGCCTTCGTGCCTCTTACGATGCGTCTGTCGCCGAGGTCAACAGTCTAAAGGACCAGATCGGACAACTGCGCGGACGCTTGTCTACACCATCGCTGCAATCGCGCTCGAGGGAGTCGTCCCGCGCGAGACAGCCGACAAAGACCAGGAAGGACAACGAGAAGAAGAAGGAGCAGTTGGTGGTTGTGCGCAACCCTAATGAACGGGGCGGAATGTAAGTTGAAACCCCTCTCCCCTTTCCAACGATTCGCTTCAGCAGGATGCTGATTGTATATCTAGTCAAATAATGCGACGATGCGACCTGCGCACGAAGAGATCCTCATCACAGCACTCGCACTCGGAGGGTGAGAAGAGCGAGTAACTATCGCCTGTGATTTGGGTTTATGGCTATGGTTTAGAGTAGGACTCGAGTGGCAAAAGGGTATATCTGGATATTTAGCGGCGACGGATTGGATTACCTTGTCAACATTCCCTTTGTTTTTTCATATCATGTCATCGGGGCACACATCATGCACGAGCTCGGTCAGCGTTGGGTCTTTCAGTGGCATCGAACCTCCTTTGTAAGGTCGGAATGTGGAACAGGAACGGGTTGGATAGGGCTAAAAACATGTAACGGATTGCATGGGCGGGTTCTGGAAGATGGGTGCCCTCAAGGGCGCGAAAGACATGCATCATGTAGACTTCGTGTCATGTAGTTAGTACTCAAGTTCTTGAATTAGATAGCGATGGATCGCACGTCTGCTTATGCTATTAACATCCACTCGATCTTCTGCCGCTACGTTTCCCTGCTAATCTTGCTTTGGGCCTGTTGAGCCTCCACCGCGACCCAACCCCCTCAAAGACGTTGTTACTCTTCCGATACTCAGTTGCGGGGGGTGATAAACTGGACCTCGTATCTCTCTTGTTATCTCAGCCAACTTGCTGCAGTGTTAAGCACTAGGTCAAAAGTCTGGCAATAACAATAACGATGGCCCAATCAACAGCGAGAGTAGGGTGAAGAGACACACGTCCTTTGGTGGTGCACTATGAAATGACCCCATGCTGATGGGTCCCTTTTGTGACTTCTAATGTTGTCCTTGTTGCTATTGCCAGACTTTTGACCCAGTATTGTAATAACATGCCTCTACCGCCGAAATATATCAGCTTGATCAGGCAAGGCTTGCCCCAGCTCTGTTTCCAGCCTTCCCGGGCTCTAAAACATTAAGCTTTTCTGTCTCACCTCTCTCAAACACCAAAATATTTCCGAGTACCGGGAAGAAACAGTTTGGGCCGTGTCACAGAGCTTCCAAGCCGGTTGCACTACTAGCCTAAAGACTCCGAGGCCGCCATCCATTCCTCTGTTGTAGGCCTTCCAGTTCAGATCGATGACGCAGTGCTATATATGATGTTCTCGCTCGGAAACATTACTAGCCTGTTCATAACGGTATCGACTTAGCTGCATGAGGAAAGACAAGTCGGAAATAACATGGACACGTCCAGCATAGCTACGCGGACGCACTCGGCGCTTCACAAAACTTCCGAATCCGGCCTGGGAAGTTCAGGCACAATCACAACAAGCGCCTTTCCAGTCCGGGTGCCATGAGGATTTGATGCTGAATAAGACCGAAGGAAGCCACTAATTGGCTGGAGATGTCTCAGGAACGGATACGGGAACATGTGTGGCCAGGCTGCAAGCGACAACCACATTCCAGACGATGGCTTGGGTACGGGATCGGCTTGAGCTCAGTTGGACCTAGCAAAGCTCTCTAGTCAAGCTGAACTCGCACAGCAGAGCACAGCCCCGCAGGTGTTGTCTTTGTGTTGCAAACCTGCAAGCTCAGGAGTATATGAGAAGTGAAGTTTTCCCTCTAAGTTTGCCCCAACTTTCCTCATCAGCTCATTCGACTCTCGCTCCACACAACTCAACGACAATCGCTATCATACAGCTACCAGAACACTTAATCTCTTCATACAAGTCCCACAAGTCCTCCAACGTCTATCACCCGTTCAACGTCAAAATGAAGTACTCTACTGCTATTATTGCCTTCGCCGGCTTTGCCGCCGCTCAGACTTTCGCCGACCTCCCGGTGTGCGCCCGGGACTGCTTGTCCACGGCCATCACGGCCAATGGCAAGTGTCAAATCACTAACACGGCCTGTCTTTGCAACCCCGACAACTTTAAGGCCATTTTCTCCAACAGTACCGTTTGTGTCCTTCAGAGCTGTGGCTCTGATAGCGCTGTCAGTAAGTGGAATATGGAATACCAGGTCGCTGATCGATAAGTTTTGGTACTCAGATATTGACCTTGAACCCTTAGACCAGGTCATCCCTGCTGCTACAAGTATCTGTGCGGCCGTTGCATCTTCAGCCGCCGTTGTCTCCGGTTCATCTGCTGTCTCCGTCGCTGCCTCTTCTGCCGTGGTTGCTACCTCCACCAGGGCCTCTGCTGTCACATCTTCGGCTGTGTCGTCTGCGATCGGAACCATCCCTAGTCCTATTACATCTGCTCCACGCTCTGGCATCACCCGAACCTCTATCGTCACCAGCACCATTACTTCTATGTATAACGGCAATTTCACTAGATCCCCCACGCAAGTACCCGTCACCGTCAACGGTGCTGCCGTACAGGGTCCTATAGGCATCGCAGCTGCCATTGCACTTGGCGCCCTTGCTTACCTGTAAGCATTCCGGCCGACTATGTATCAGTCGACCAACATATCGTCTACCTAGATGGTAAAGCGCTCGACCGAAGATTCATTTCGTTAGTCAGACTGTGAGTTCTGAATCAAAGGATGGACACTTAAATGGCAATATAGATGGATGCCCATTGATAGACTACTTAATACTATATCCAAAACAAGAAAACGTCTGTTAAAGTCTCCACATGGTGATATTCTGACTAAACGTTGCAATTCACACTGTCACAATTACTCTCTTAAGTGGTTTGGTGTACTCGAATATCAATGATAGGCAGTAATTCTGTCTCTAGAGCCTCCAATTCAGAGCTCTAGCCATTGATGTGTTGTTGCATTTCCCGTCCGCCCGGCGGATGATGGGTACGCTTTTGATTGTAGTCAAAGTGACTATTGTACGTAGTTAAAATTTCTACAACAGTCTAAAGTAAACAAAATATGTACGAAGCTCATAATGATGAGCAAATAACAGAGTACCTGTCTGTTGTGCGACGCGTCATCGGCGGCTATCCTTACGCATTTCCGAGGTTGAATGTCTTATCCAGTGGCTCTTAAAGGCCATGGCGCTCCCCATGCTCCTTAATCACTGCCTGCTTATTACAGGGATGGTAGCTTGGGAAGGGCTTGAGCTGTGCTGAATGCAGCGGACCCCGCAGCATTGATAGCTCCGTTGAGCTCAACCCATGCCACAGTTCGTCTGCCATTACGGAGATGTGTCGGCTTTCACTCGGTGTCGATGCTTATACGGCAAGCAAAGTAGCCTTGTGGGTGGTTGACTTGGTTCGTCGGGGATTCAAACGCCTGGCAATTGGTCAATCAGAAAGCTGCCCAAGGCTTGAGCTCCTGGGATTTTTCTCTCATCTTAAGCATTGCTGTGCTCGCGTCTGGTCCAAAAAGTGTATATTTAAAGGCCGGCGGACCCTTTCTGATTCTTAAAAAACAAGGAACAAGCAACCCAACCCTTGATATTCGCCAGGTTTCCTCTTCTTATTAAGTCCTACGCATTATGTATCTCCCTAAGCTGCTTCTTCCTGGGGCCGTTTTGAGCTTCCTCTCCCCCATAGCCGCCGTCCCCGTGCAGGACAGTCCGCGCCAGCGGCTTCTTGACGGAAAGGGTTTACCTACAAAGTACCGTACTGCATCGTCGCCTTACACGCCCGGTCACAGAGATAAGTACGACACTCCCGTTGACTCTATCGGCAACAACCTCGATCCATTGCCGTGGCGTAATGGTCTAGGAGCCTCCGTCCTAGGGCCATGGAACGATGCTCGTTCCAGACAAAACCCAGATCTCGTGCGCCCCCCCAGCACAGATCACGGAAACCTCGCCAACATGCGATGGAGCTTTGCGGATTCCCACATTCGCATTGAGGTACGTCTGCCGTTCCGAAATTTGGAAGCGACAAGGTGTGGCTTAACTAATGGTACACAGGAGGGCGGATGGACTCGACAGACCACGATCCGGGAGTTGCCCACGAGCATCGAACTTGCCGGAGTCAACATGCGCCTGGACGAAGGGGTCATCCGCGAACTTCACTGGCACAAGGAGGCCGAGTGGGCCTATGTCCTCGATGGAAGCGTACGCGTCACAGCCATCGACTATGAGGGAGGGAATTTCTTCGATGACCTGAACAAGGGAGACCTATGGTATGTTTAGGACCAAAGTTGGTCTTGTCCTCTTATGCCCATCGGATGCTAAGGAAGGTCACATAGGTATTTCCCATCAGGCGTGCCTCATTCTTTGCAAGGTCTCGGCGAGAACGGAACAGAGTTTCTCTTGATCTTCGATGATGGACACTTTTCTGAAGAATCCACGTTTATCCTGACGGATTGGCTTGGTATGGTTCATGAATTGCGTGATGTCATACGGGGGCTACGGTTTCTAACGCCATTCTAGCACACACGCCAAAGTCTGTGATTTCAAAGAACTTCCACTTGGCCCCCGAGGTCTTCGCCCACATTCCAGAAGGGGAGAAGTACATCTTTCAGGGGACCACGCCAGGCTCCATCGCACACGAGGCACCTACCGGAAAAGGAGTGAAGAAATCCAAGTATCAGTTTACACACAAAATGTTGGACCAAGAACCGAAAAGGACCTCTGGCGGCGAAGTCAGAATCACCGACTCCAAGAATTTCCCAATCTCAAAAACCATTGCGGCAGCCCATGCGATTATCGAGCCTGGTGCCCTCCGAGAGATGCACTGGCACCCCAACGCCGACGAATGGTCTTTTTTCATCAAGGGGCGTGCCAGAGTTACGATATTCGCCTCAGAAGGTAATGCCCGAACCTTCGACTACGTTCCGGGTGACGTTGGTATTGTTCCAAAGAACATGGGCCACTTTGTCGAGAACATTGGCGACGAACCTGTTGAAATGCTCGAGATCTTCCGAGCCGACGAATTCAGAGACTTTTCACTGTTTCAGTGGATGGGAGAAACCCCCAAGAAGCTGGTGGTTGACCACCTTTTTGCTGACGACCCCGAAGCTGGCGAGAAGTTCTGGGACAAGGTCCGCAGCGCCGAGAAGGACGAGATTACCAAACCGAACGTCGAGGAAGTCCAAACTAAGTCTGACGAGCTCTAGTGGGGAACGCTGAAGGTTAGCAATAACGGCTTGGCAGATCCAGCCTTGGCAGTCTATGCTTGCGATGTTTGTTTCTTGGCGGGTGAAACATCTACAGCAATGCCATTATATTAGATGTCTACAGATATTGTCAAAGTTTTAGTCAACGATCGTATTTTCAGCCACGTCGATGCAAATGTTTTACGTGCATGATCATTTTCTCGACTCTTCCGTGCTCTCGTAATTGTCGTTAAGTAAACCCGTATCCCAAGTTCACCATTGGCGAACACACAGACAGTAGTCTGAAAGCAATGGACCCTTTGGCCAACCTTTCTGACAAGCTGAGCTCAAATGGGTATCCATGCGGCTTTTCTCAGTCTTCCCACGGGTTACTGAGTTTCCGGTACCAAGGTTTTGCATCACTATTTAGTCAGCCCACTGCACAGATCGCCATTCTTGCTTCTTGAACTAGAATCATTACGCGTAGACGACCCTTGCTTTCTGATACTATTCACTCCTTCCTCGCATATTTTCTTACCGACAGGTCTCCGAAGGAAGTCCGTGGCAAATGCAACGTAAGTAGATGCCGTGCCTCGAATACATTTCCCGAGTAGGGAGTTTATGTACGTGATCACTCCCGTGGCTTGGTTGAACATGATTGCGATAGGCTATTAGTGGTCCCTTGTTCACACCATCCTCGAGTTGTGACAGCTTGGATGTCTCGCCTTGACGTGCATCCAGGCCACAGGCCTCATCTTTCTTGCCGCCCCTTGTCTAGACTGGGTTTGTTGCAGGGTACAGCCAGTGACAGAAGTCATTGCCATGAAATATAGCGGGCATTATTGATGTATCGAGAAGGTGGTAAGTGAGGCCTTTTGTATCGAGTACAAGAAGGGCGCAGGTTGAACCCCGCACGAAACGATGACACCACCAAATCGTTCCAATAGCTCCGTTTCAGCAGGCACAGCAGTGATGTAGCGCTGACCATGCTGGCTCGGTATCGTCCAATCTCTTGCGGCCAGTGTTCCGCAACGGTTATGGCGCCGGGTTTCTTGAGCAAGTAGGAACACTGGGATTGTGTCATATCTGTCAGTGACATCCGGCGGGAAAACGCATGGACAATGATACCCAATCCTATTTCTGGAAACCGGCGGTTGAAGAGGGGTAATTGCAAGCAGCATAACTAGCATGTTAAGGGGGGTGAGATGAGACCGGGATGGATTTCAGTGAGGAGGGCAATCGGCCCGTGGGCAAGTCGACTGCTAATCTCATCCAAACAGGAACTGCTTTGTTGCACATATGGCGGTGATATGACTTTCGAAGAAGTATTATGTGATGACAATCGTGGTCCCACAGTTGTCACTGCTACAACTGCACTTAAGTACCGTCACGACATATTATAATATGTAGGATCATCGACATCCTTAAGTGTAGTAGTCACCCGTTGGCCCACAACCCGCTTGGATCCCGCCGAATCCCTCCCCTCACACTCAAAAACTGGTTGACAGCCTCCTCCCGGCTCTTTCTAGCTTTGCATTAGCTTAACCCCGGTCAACGCCGGATTTTACCCTGGTCTGTATCCCCGGGAACACTGCCCATGATTCGCGGGCTTGGCATGTCCACATCTACCGGGAAAATCAAAGCTTGTCCGTCGCTACGAGGCCTACATGCAAGGATAAGGGTTTCCGCCAGCACACAATATTGCGTTCTCCCACCCAGATGGGCCCTGTTTAGAGCCTATGAGGAGCGACGGGAGCGCTATTGGACGGGTATGTACCCCGTACCGGTAGTCAACCCGGCGGGAGGGAGGTAAAGACGTGGGATGGATTGGGCTTGCGTCGAGCTAGCGCTAATGTAGGCAGGTCGGCAAGCACACGGATAGCGCCGCGAACATTCTTCCTCTTTTATTCGTGATAAATCACATTACCATGCAGACCGGGACGGGGCTCTGTCGCTCTGGATCGCTCGAACACGTTAATTGTAGATCATACAAACCGGTCAGACGAACACATGGGTGCGTGGGCAAAAGAGAGGGCTAGAGAGGACCAAGCAAGTGTCCAGGTCTTCACAACGTTAGCCTATCTTTTCTCGCCCACCTCAATTAGGAAAGTGGTTATGCTGTCCCCAAGACCACCATGCTTAAAGCACATGTGTGCAACTTGAAGCGCGCGGGGGTCTGCCGAGGGATGTTATTATTCCTTACCTCCCGTTGTTAACGATGTTGTCTTAATGGCTTGGCGAGCTTCGCTCACATGGCCTTTAATTGACCTCCTGCATGCCTAGCCATAGAATCACGTCATAGGTTCTTCCCAGGCCGGTGTCTACGGCTATTGCATCTCAGGAACTCGGTCGAACAGTGGCGGGTAACCTTTGCTGCGGTCTCGCTGGTTCAATCGCACATGCCAAGATTGTATCGGTACCCCAGTAGATCTTTGCGGGCTACGAGCCAAGAGATTGGATTTTGGCAGGGCAGCTTGGCATTGCGGCTCTGGGGATTCAAGCTAGAAAGGAAACGTTCATTGTGAGTTTGAGTGACCGTAGAGATAGATGCGGCATCCAAGGTGTCTCGGGCCTTTGGCGATATCGGATGACTTGACTTGTTATTCCGATACCTCTGTGCCCGCACAGCTTCTCCGTACTTATTTCTCATGCACTGGGTGATATTCGGGATGCTCCGCACGTCTATACGGTCCATCCAGTGCGCACCCAATAGCCATTCATCTCATACCCTCCATTGCGATGCCATGTGATATGTGCTTCTCCATCCGTTATTCTCGCTCCCTCTCTGCCATCGGATCGCGCGAAATTCAGTCCAAGTTTGGTGAAACTCTGCACTAGCAGGCAGGGGAAAAACTTTGACCGATGTTCTCTTCTTGGGGTGGTTGGAGTCGCAGTACTTGCAGGCTAGCTTTCTGACGGTGCGACTCCACGTCATCCGAAGGGTGCTTGTCTCCTCGACGCAACCCCAATATGCTCCAACCATCCACCGATGTGAGGAGACGGCATTCCATGAGAGTGAAAGGTGATGAACTGCATTAGTCTCGCTATATTCCGCGCGCGGAGGGATACCGAGTGTAGTCCGAAGGGGGTGTACTGCAGTTCCGCGCCGAGGTTGGGCAAAGTTGGTACAATGGCAGTGATGCTACAGCAATGTTGCTCGGCCTGGACCTCCGTGTCACTTTGAACGGCTTAGACTGTGTGCTGGACGGTTCCTCATCCGTCCAAAGTTTAGGTTAGGTTGCCTTTGCCGTATGATCTGTGCTGTATGGGTCAGAGGATATTTGCACAAGAGGCTGCTGCAGCGCGCTGATCAGATGGAACTGCAGCAGACATAAAGAAACGGCACCGTCAGCCGAGGAGCTGATTATTATCTCTAGAAAATCAAAAAATACCATTACGAGTTCGGACGAAGTGCTGACTCAATTATTGATCTACACTATTTCTAACGAGCCTTGAACCATCCTAACTACTGAAACCAAATTCGTCTGTTCCTATATCATCAGCCACCTCGTGGCCCGGACAGGTCTATCTCTTCTGTTGTCCTTCTTCCCCCTGAACAGCGACATTTCAACTCGCGTCGTCGAAATGGACAGTATTAACCGGAACGTTGAACGATTGAGAGACGAAATCACGACAGACACCACCCTCGCTCGAGTTCGTGACTTTGTCGTCTCAGGGGCTCCAAAATTGCCATCCGCCGCCGGAGTTTATCTCCTCGAAAAGATCCCCATATTCCAGTGGCTGCCCCGATACTCTCCCAAATGGCTTCTCCCCGACTTCATCGCCGGGCTGACGGTGGGCGTCATGCTCATTCCCCAGTCCCTGGCTTACGCAAAGATTGCAACCATTCCCATAGCCAACGGTCTTTATTCCAGCTGGCTGCCAGCCGCGTTTGCAGTTTTCATGTCAACATCAAAGGGTGGGTCATGGCTACAGAATGTATAATCAGTGACGACGCTGTTCTGACTTGGCATCTATCGTATAGACCTCTCAACCGGCCCCACCTCCATCCTGGGTCTACTCACTGCTGAAATCGTACACGATCTGACTGCAGAAGGCTTTGACGCCTCAGCGATAGCCTCTGCTGTTGCCCTCATGGTCGGGGTCTACTCCCTGGTCATCGGTATTTTCGGCCTGGGGTTTCTCCTAGACTACGTCTCCTTTCCGGTGTTGACGGGCTTCATCTCAGCGGCCGCTCTTGTCATCGCATTCGGCCAAGTCGGGTCCCTCGTCGGCCTCACAAACGTGCCCTCCGGCGTTTTCAACGTTATCGGCGACGTCCTTCGCCGTCTTCCAAAGTGGGATGGCCCGACCTGTGGTATCGGCTTCGGGACACTCCTCATCCTCATCGCTCTTGAGAAGGTTGGGAAGAAATGGGGCAAGCGACACTACGCCATCAAGTTCCTCGCCAACTCGAGGGCAGTTATTGTGCTGATAGTTTTCACTCTGATCAGTTATCTGGTGAACCACGGCCGTGACAAATCTGATTACTCCTGGAAAGTAAGCCAAGTGAGCACTCATGGCATTACTCATCCTAATGTGCCAGCCTCAAACCTAATCCAAAAGATTGCAACAAGGGCTGTTGCGCCCTTGGTTGCCAGTACCTTGGAGCACTTGGCCGTCGGAAAGGCATTTGGAACAAAGAACAACTACCAAATCGACAAGAATCAAGAGTTCAACTACCTAGGTGTTGTCAACATTGTCAACAGCTTCTTCAGTACCATGCCCGTCGGCGGTGCCATGTCTCGTACAGCCGTCGCCTCTGAGTGCGGTGTCAAGAGTCCTTTGACGGGCCTGGTCACTGCGGCCTTCATTCTCTTGACCCTTTATGTCTTGTCTCCTGCTCTTTATTGGCTTCCTTCTGCCACTTTATCTGCAATCATTGTAAGGCACATTGAAAATCAGTTCACGAAGACTTGCTGACGCAATTTGATGTTGTAGATCATGGCCGTTGTACATCTCGTTGGTCCATTGTCGCTCTTTTACCGTTTCTGGCGCATCTCATTCCCTGACTTTGCTGCCTCAATGGTCTCTTTCTGGGTCACCATTTTCGTTTCCGCCGAAATCGGCATCGGCGCTGCAGTATGTCGTCCCTCTCAATATTACATTGGCTTACGTTGACCTCGTTCCTAGGTGGGATGGAGCATCGTCTGGACCATGCTGCGATCGACTTTTGTCAAGCCCGTTATTCACTCTAGCAACAATGAAATTGCTCACGCTATCCCCCAGCCGATTACCCGCATCGTCAATGACGACGGTAGGCGGGGCACCGACAACCGCACCGAGAACTCCGGCATCGCCATCCCTAGTGACACTATCGTCGTCGACTTCAAAGACGCCATCTTTTTCCCCAATGCTGAGCGAGCAAAGAACTCGACGCTCACAGCCATCAAATTGGTGTACCCTCGCGTCGAGACCAGCATGAGCCAAGACGACCGCGAGCGGCATTGGAGTGTTGCGGGAGAGAAAAGACTGGAGAGGATAAGAGCACAGAAACAGATCCGTCTCAAGGAAACGCCCCTTGCAGTTGTCGTCTGGGACTTTACCATGGTACCATTCATTGATACAACAGGTCTCACGGCGTTGAAGGAGCTCAAGACTGAGATTCAGTCGCATTCTGGTAAGAGCGTCCAGATCCGGATGGTGGGTATGCCAGACAAGGTCCGCAGCCGGTTCTTAAGGGCAAAATGGACTCTGGTTGACTTGGAAGAGTGGAGAGAGGAGGACGCAGACTTGGTGTACCCCTCAATGGAGACTGCGATCTGGGATCGCGATGGAGAATCAGGACTAGACTACTCTAGTGAGAAGAAGGGTTAAGGACTTGGCGTATATGCTTGATTGCTAGCGTCTGACTTCTCAATGATACGGGTCTGGCGGTTTTGTTACAGGGAAAGATAAACTAGCTGCGCGTATACGGTATACCAGCAGTCTCCTATCAGTTGTCTGCTTCTGCATTCTATAACTATCATGTTGACTCCGTTTTGATCGTCCGCAAAGGTATTTTAACTGCCTGCCACTTTGAAGAAGACCATGTACCTCGTTGTTTGTAGAGAGAGAGAGAGAGAGAGCCCAGGAATAACAGTGGCGGAGGAGGGAGTCTCGTTCGTTTCGAAATAGGCCTGCCACAAAAGAATCTCAATATTGATACTGTGCAAATGGTAGGGGCTGCGACTTTACTGAATACCTATGATTGCAGTTTTCCCGTCGGTTTATATAACGTCTCGGTCTTCACCCAGTCAGTAAGGAAACCCTTACTGGTAAGCCGCACTCGTCGTTCTTTATTGCGCCTCTTCATTCATATCCTACATTTTTGCTACTGCCACCGAACATTACCTCGCTAAGGGGGTACTTCTTGAGACATGGTGTTCTTGGAGGAACACCCGGCTGGCTACACCAGGCTACCGCGCCGGCAACCTCTTGACGGGAAGGCGTTGCGGCTACCCAGAAGTCCGACGGTTGAGAAGGATAGTGGGTACCCAGATGAATCTCAGGTTGAGGACAGTGACGCCCTGGAAGGTACAGAGGTTTTGAGGCTATTCCTGAAATCCGACTGGGAATGGCTCCATGAATCCGCGAAGGAGAACCTCTGCTATTGCCTGCGAAGGGGGCACAGCAGAGAGGCTAGAGACGGATGGGTGATTGTGAGAGAGTACCACCAATCAGCACTTAGTCATCGGATCTTGGAGTCTTGAAGAACCACCTTGGCTGACAGGGTGTGTGTATGGAATCTGAGGGAGGTTGCCTGCCCGGGCTGAAAGATCTTAGTCTCAACTCTCAAATTTTCACTTCACCTTGGACAAGACTTTCTCCGAATTGTCCTCCAATACTTGCACCAAACAACAATAGAAACGAACGGGGAATCAAAGATCAACTGTGATGACAAAAGCGGATCCGTAATTGCCACTGCGCAATTACGGCTTATATCATGACATCAACAATTTCGTCCCCAGTATTCTCGAATCCTTCATCAACACCTAATCAACATCGTTTGCTTTGCTTCTTTTCTAATCGGTTAGCTATTCCCATCGCATGCTGGGTTTCTAATTGTCAGCACCAGATTCACCTACAAAGCAATATGAATGGGCACACTGAACTGCAGTCACTCAGCCTTCATAACAACAACTTTTCTCTTTGTGCTACTTCATATCTAAGAAAGGACCTTTCTGACTCTTTCTGCAGAGAGAACTTCAATCCATTCGCACAAAATACCCTCAACTTCAACACACTAGATGGCCAATAACAGCATTAAGCTAGAGATGGTGAGTTGATTTCTTACCACATGAGGCTGTCCTTACTACCTACTCCCCTTAACATACTCATACTTAAGACTGTGGACTAACTTAGGAATGCAGGATGCCAAGGCTGATGACTTTGAGTTAGTCTTCTCCATCAAGGACATGGAGAAGGCTGCCGCAGCGGCCGTTGCAGAGACCAAGCGCGAGGCCAAGAACAAGCTTGCTAAAAACAAGAGCAACCATATTGACGAGGTCTCCCGCCTTAACAACACCATCACCATGCTTGAGGGGGTTGAGGAGGAGCTCGCAAAGACCAAGCTTAAGATCTCCAGGGAAGATTATGGTCTTGTCAGATTCCTCTAGAAAACTTTTTCCTTCAATGGTTTCTACATGTGTCTACGACAGTTGGCGTTTAGATTTTCAGCACCGCGGCATTGGGGTGGTCCAAGAACCAATCAACCGTTAAGATGAGCCATTACGACAGACAAGAGATCTGGAACTGGAGGCCTGATTAATCAAGCCTTGCGGCCCTACTAGTGTTCGCAACCCATGATGTGATGATGTCGAGGAGTTGCGTCAGGTGTATTGAACAAGTTCAGAGTAGAAACTCTTGCATTGTCATTTGAAGGCAATGATGATGTTGGCCTGAAAGAAGCCTTCCTCTCCGATATTTCTAGAACAAAACAACCCACCTTCGACCGTCAACGGCCAGCAAAGGCCCATAGTCTGGGTGGACGACATATTGGTAGCCTGGCTTGATAGGGTGAAGTCAGCCAACCCAGGTCCAGCACCATAAGTATCAGCCACATCTCGGATACCTGCGCCACAGCCAAATGTACCCCTCCCTGCACGAACCGCTGGCCCAGTCTCTCAAAGGCGGTCACCCGATCGGGACCTCCCACACCGAAGATCGGCGGGGCAGTTTTTCTGCTGAGCGCTCGGTGAACGATAATTTTATCCCAAGAAGCGTCAATCCCACCCGTCGCCGCCACAAAGACATCCCAAACACCCAATTGAGCAGCAGATAGCCCTGCTCTCCCCACCTCTAGTCAAAATGGCGTCCCAAGAACAAAATATGCCATTCATCAAAAACCTGGCCTCCAGCGGTTCGTCCTCCAGCCCCCCCGCCCCTCGTCCTCCTCGCGCGCGCGCAAGAGAGAGACAGAGGCGCAAAGTCCCCAGACCCTAACCCCCCTCAACCGCAAGGATAAACCGAGCTAACGTCTGTATTTACCCCCTTCTCTCTAGACCGCAAGCTCCGGACCCAGGCCCTGACCTCGCTCCAGACCTTCCTCGGCTCCCACCGTGCCCTCAGCCGCCTCGACTCCCTCAAGCTCTGGAAGGGCCTCTTCTACGCCATGTGGATGTGCGACCGCCCCGTGCCCCAGCAGAACCTCGCCGCCGAGCTCGCCGCCCTGACCGCCTGCCTGCGCGACGACGACGTGCCCGCCTGGCTCTCCGCCTTCTGGGAGACCATGGCCCGCCAGTGGACCGACATCGACGTCCTCCGCATGGAGAAGTTCCTCCTCCTCGTCCGCCGCACCTTCGCCGCCGGCCTGCGCTGGGTCCTCGACGCCGACTGCGCCCCCGCCCGCGCCGACGCCCTGCTCGCCGTCTGCGCCGAGTTCCCCTTCGAGCTCGAGGGCGACCTGCGCAAGGTCCCCGTCGGCCTGCGCCTGCACGCCGTCGACATCTGGGTCGACGAGCTCGAGCGCCTCGGCATGCTCGCCGGGGACGCCGCCGACGAAAAGACCGTCGCCTTCGCGCGGAGGCTGAGCCAGCTCGTCGAGCCGCTCAAGAGGTCGCCCGTCAAGACGGTGCGCGCAAAGGCCGCCGACGCCGTCGAGGACGAGAGGCTGCCGTGGGTCGAGGGCAAGGCCGACGAGGACGCGACGGCGACACCGGTGGCGGGCGGCGGCAACGACGACGAGTGGGGCGGCATCGACGAAAAATAGAGGAACAGCGGCTTTTTATTTTATTCCTTTTCTTCTTGCTCTTTCTTTGTTTTGTTTGTGTGGGATTCCCTTGTTTTGTGTCTTTGCTGCATGGGACGGTGAACACGGCGTTTGATTTATTTTTTGTCCTGCTCTACTTGGCTTCTTTGCTTCACCTTTTCTCTACAGAATGGGAAAGGCATTACTTTCCAGACAAAAAGTTTTCAGGGACGCTCGGACAGCGGTGACGGGAATGAAAAAATCAAAAGCAAAATAGAAATCAAGATCAAAGTCAAGATCAAAATCAAGCAAGTATTATGCATGTGATGCTATTCTATATCATCAGTGGGCTCGTCTTGTGCCGGGCCGCAGCCGGATATGTGCAACCGACCGGCCGGGCAATGACAGTTGTGATTTTTCCGTCCTGCGTCTGTCTGGGTATCTCGCGAATGAATGAACCACGCTACTCCAACGCCTCAATCGCCTCTTCACAGTCCGCTCTTACCACCCATCGCTCAGGAGCCACGCACAGCAGCTCAGGGCGACGGTAGCCGCCGCCACCTAGGCCCCGATCCTGCTCTTTTCCCAGCCCGCGGGGCCGGGTCCCTCGTACTTGCCTCTCTTGGAGATGACTCGGCCGAGACCTGGGTGGATCTCGGCCTGGAACGGCTCGAACGGCACCTTTTCTCCGTCGATGCTGATGTAACCGTTTTTCTGGTTCCGGGGGATGATGCGGTAGGCCGAGATCTTGCGGTACGAAACCAGGGCGTTGTCAAACAGCTTGCCGCTCTCGACGCTCAAGAGCAGGTTCAGCTGGTTCGATACGGACACGTCTCCGTTGATGCAGACGAGATCCATGAGGCCGTCGTTGGGGAGCGCCGCGGAGAAGAAGTGGGCGTCAGCGGCCATGAAGGGCATCTGGAAGTCTTGGTCAGCTCAAGTCGTCTCGTCCACAAATCGAAGTACAACTCACGTTTCCGCAGTAAAAGTTGCCCATCTTGTCCTGGGGTATCAGTTCCCATCCCTCGGGCAGGTCGTCATTGACGGTGCCGTATTTTAATGGCGGGAGTCCTTGCTGCTCCACATCTTGATTCTGGGCAGCGTCGGCATTCTCCGCTCTTGGTGCCTCGGCCATGCCCAGGCTCGTCGACGAAGTTTTGTGCGTATACTGTCTGTAGTGCTCCTTGACGCCGGGTTTGTCCTCGATCTCCACCTTGACGGCGAGGTCGCAGGGATAGCACTTTTTCTCAAATATCCTCATGAGGTATCCCCACGTGAAGCGAGCGCCGCCCATCCATCGCAAGTGCTCGGTGCCTAGATCGCTCTCAGCCACGATACCAAGCGCCTGGCTCAGGAAGCTGAGCGTCCGCCTGTCCCCTTGCGTGATGCTAATCAGATCCATCGGGGTTTCGACGCCCTTGATGATGGCGAGGGCGGCGATGGATGCCCGGTGCGAGCCGTAGAGGTTGATGCTCATGGCGTTGCCCGAGCCGCAGGGAATGTGCGAAACGGCAATCTTCCGGAGCGCGCGCGCCGCGTCCGGTCGCTGGGCCAAGCCGTTGAACACCTCGTAGGCCAAGCCGTCGCCCGAGCAGGTGACGATGGTGTCGAACGCGTCGATGTCGACCTCCCGCGTCGTCTTCAGAGCTTGGCCCGAATAGGTCGTCAACTCAACGTCCATGGGCATGCGCGCGACCTTGAACAGAGGCTCGCAGTCGACTCGCCACTTCTTCTCGGCGCCGCCAGGGCCGGCGTGCGGATTGACCAGGACCTTGGCCCTCTTGCATCGCTTCGCGGGCCCGTAGGCTTTCGTCAAGAGGGTGTCGACCCATGCCTGGACGTCGGCGCCATCGGCCCCGTTGATGACAAAGGTCCACTTGGCGGCCTGGACCCTGTTCTTCGCAACCTGCTTGGCGTAGTCGATGACGAGGGACTCGTTCGTTTGCTCGGCCCAGAGGACATTGTACAAGGGGATCGTGTGCGTGGCCGAGGCTGCTGTCGCGTAGGGTGTTAGCAAGCCGAGACAGCAAGGGTCAGGCGCGGGTGTCGTGAGGACGGACCTGATGCGCCAAAGCCAGCAAAACCGCAAGTTCTATGGGCTTTCGTTGCCGTAGGGTCTTGAAGGGTCAGCCACCCGAGCATCACTGACGGCAGAGCGCTTATGGGTTCCAACACACCTTTCAGAATGAGATTCTCGGCAGCCAGGGTTAGGGACTTGTTGCCGTCAACCTTGATCGCGTCGAGGGAGCCGATTTGCGAGGCAGGTTTGCCGTACAGCTGGGAGGACTCGGAGATGGACTCGGTCACGGCCGGTGCCGCGTTGGTCTGGCCAGGGATGTTCGCCATGGTGGATTGTATCTCGAGGAGACTGCGTCAGGCTGTTCACATACTAGGACGGGCGCGATGGGGGGGAAAGGAGGGTCTCTCGCGCCGAATTCGCAAAAGACGTGGATAGGTATCAGGACGTGATAGCTCGTATTCGTCTACGAGTTGGGAGGCAGTAAGACGATGATGTGGCAAGCGGCAGGCGAAGAAATGAGGAGAAGAGAACAACACCGGACCCGTCGGAACAGGAAGAGACTGGCTGAGCGAGTGAAGATGGGGCAAGGGCAGGCAAGAGAGGTGAGGAAGAATAGGGGAACAGGTCGATGTCAGCAGGAGGCGCGACGACACATTGTTTTTGTCACTCGTCGACTGTTCTTTATTCGTTTATTGGGCAAGGGAGTAGACGGCACCCTGGCTTGAGTGCGTTGTTGGCTCTTCCTTGCAATCGCTGGGTTATCTTTTCTTCGGTACGCGAAAAAGCGATAGAGATAGAGCTAGAGAGAGAGAGAGGAGAAAAAATTGAAGCAGGCTGATCAGCTATCGCATCTAGCCAAACAAGGAAGAAGGGCACAGGAGGAAGAGGGATAGAAAGAGGAAGGAGTCAGAAGGGAGCATGTCCTAGAGCCCATCATGGACAGACAGAGACACATTGCCAGGTCAAGGTTCAGGTGCAGGATTGTTTGTGGACGTGGATGGCACGGTGTACCTGCTCAATCCCCGTCCGGCTTCAGCGGCCCACGGATGGATTGGAGAATGACCCGCATGTGCAGATAGAGTTATACTTGATCTCTGGTGGATCTCTTCCTCTGGAAACAGGTACCGTGCTATCGCTGATACTGATCACAGCGGTGCGATAAGCCCGGACAACAGGCACGGATGCGCGCTGCACTGCTGCAGGCCGTCCAGTTGACGCTAATGCGAGGGGTCCGCGGGCACCCGTGGCGGGCACCCTCGCCGGCCGCCTGGCCTCGAAGAGGTGGTGTAGCCGAGAGTCGAGTTGAACTTGCCGAAAGGACTGTCGCAACTAGATGCAAATTTGTTGGACGGCGTAAACGACGACTTTTTAGACTGCCACCATGATACTTCAATGCTAGGCCGATGAGGGGGGGGGACACGCCGCAAAGAGAGGAGAGCGAGAGAAAAGGACCATGGGTTGAGATATGAAGCCCGACGCCCCCTCCAGGCCTGTATTGGCAAAGGGTCCGACCCATCGACAAGAATGCAGGCAAGGTCCGGGTGAATACCTTATCTGGGGAAGGAGGGGTGGGTGGCTGGGGTAGGAATGGGACATCAATAGTGTAACTGTAACCTCATTAGTTGGAAGCGGTGACTTGCCGTCTGAGGCATGTCACGGGCTGTCAATCCTTAGTTGACGATGATGTTTGAGTACATACTTAATAATTAGTGCTCAAGAGATTAGTTGGTGACTGGGAATGGCGTGGGTGGACTTTTGACGCCGACCTAGTCTAATTATCGTAATCCCGTGCCCGGCCTTCCGCGGCCTGGTTCGCCCGCCGTCTCGAGCAACCCCTTCCCTGCTGCTAGGTTTGAGGTTTGATATCATGCTGATGCTCTTTTCCAGAAAAGATCCGCATGCATTACAAGAGGGGAAGAGAGAGAGAGAGAGAGGCCAGAATGCCTTTGCCGACTTCATCCTTTGGACGACGAGCGGACAACGTCTAAAAATCATGCCCCCGGTCCGACCGCCGCATCGCATTGTTCGAGAAGCATTGCAAAGCAGCGAGAAGAGTAGCGCGAGAGCAAGCAAGACGACAATGCCTTTGTTTGTCATCCTTGAGACTCAAGGTGCGCGGTACACGGTCGAACTTGCCTATAGACAAATGGGGAAGAATGAATGAATGCTACGCGACTAGAATCTCCGGGGGTGGAGAAAGGAATGAAGGCGGAAAACGTCATCTCCATGTGGAACCCATCAATGTCTGTGTCTGCTGAAGAAGAAGAATGCCATCTGGCGCATTGAGGTCGCAAAACCGATCTCCCATCTTGTTCCCCAATCCTAACATGATCCAAAGTCATAGCTTATTTAGGTCAGGTACCTAAAGAAAACAAAACGGGAGCGGAGATTCCCTAACTGGCGACGGTCGAGCATCCAGGGCCACCTGTCCCGCCACCACTCGGCCAATGGGCTCGTCCCGTGCGCGCTTGATCAGGCAATAATTGGCCAATCAGCCGTGGCCCGCAGCACCGGCAGCTCCAGGATACCTGGGTACCTGGGCACGTACCTACCCCGGCGCTCCAGATATCGGGGGGGGGTTGAGGAGGGGCACACTTGCCCCGGGGACGGCGGTCCTCATTCACAATCTCTCCCATTGTTCCGGAAACCCTTTGACTCACAACGCATTGTTCTCGGTGAGCCGATCTCAAATTCTTTGCTTTTATATCCATATCCCCGTCTCGATCACGATTGCAAACACCGAACGCAATCTCTCCAGATACACACAATTACCTACCTACATAAAGGTAGACACACATAAACACCCACCAAGGCCCGCCATGGCCTCTCAACCTCCTCCGGTCGCGGGGTCCGGCGATGCCGCCGCCGCCGCCGCCGCCCTGCCGCTCATTGACATCAAGCCCCTCCTCAAGAAGCTCTGGCCCGTACCGGAGGCCGGCCTCAACGTCACCCCGGACGAGATCGCCGAGGCCATCTCCCACTTCTTCACCCATCAGGTCTCCGACGCCCAGGCCGCCTCCCTCCTCATCGCCCTGCACTTCACCAACCTCGACCGCCGCGCAGACGTCATGGCCCACTCCGCCCACGTCATGCGCCGCGCCGCCGCCGCCGTCGACCTCGACGGCCTCGCCGACCTCGTCCGCCGCAAGGGCCTCGCCGCAGGCGCCTACGCTGGCGGCCTCTGCGACATCGTCGGCACCGGCGGCGACGCCCACAACACCTTCAACATCAGCACCACCGCCAGCATTCTCGCTTCCGCCCTGCTCCTCGTCGCCAAGCACGGCAACCGCGCCAGCACCTCCAAGTCCGGCTCCGCCGACCTCGTCAACAACATGCAGCCCCGGCCCCCCGTCCTCACCGCCGTCTCCCCCGCCACCATCTCCGCCGTCTACTCAGCCACCAATTACGCCTTTCTCTTTGCCCCCGTCTTCCACCCGGGCATGCGCTACGTCGCCCCCATCCGCAAGGAGCTGCCCTGGCGCACAATCTTCAACCTCCTCGGCCCCCTCGCCAACCCCGTCGAGGACATCCTCGAGGCCCGCGTCATCGGCGTCGCCCGCAAGGAGCTCGGCCCCGTGTTCCTCGAGGCCCTCCGCATCGGCGGGTCCCGGAAGGCCATGATCGTCTGCGGCGAGGAGGAGCTGGACGAGGTCAGCTGCGCGGGGCCCACCCTGGTCTGGAGGCTGACCGAAACGCCCGGCGGCGGCATCGCGACGGACCACTTCCGCGTGCAGCCTAGCGACTTTGGTCTGGGCACCCACCCCCTCGACACCGTCTCGCCGGGCAAGGAGCCCGCCGAGAACGCCGAGATCCTGCGGAGGATACTCGAGGGCGAGATGGCCGACGACGACCCCATCCTCGAGTTCGTGCTCATGAATGCCGCAACCCTGTTCGTGGTCTCGGGCATATGCGAAGCCGAGTCCAGCAGCATGGGCCCCGGCGACGACGGCCAGGTCATCACCGAGAGGGGACCTGGCGGAGGACGATGGAAAGAGGGAGTGCGAAGAGCGCGCTGGGCCATTAAGAGCGGCGAGGCCTGGAGGCAGTGGAGAGCGTTCGTCGACGTCACGAACGGATTCAACGAGCAAAGGATTGTGTGATTAAGAAGTGGCCATTTGTGAGGTCATACGATATAAAAAAACGGAGGGGGAGATAGAGGGCTGGCTGGGCGGTTCACCGGTAATGGGATGAATTGGAACGGACATGGCGGCCATTGGCACGGATGCAACACGAGAAAGATTAGGCGCCTCGACATGCGCAATAGCTCCGACGGAATTTGGAGTCCCAAAAGTTTTTGTAGCCCTCTTCTATCACAACTTTTTGATGCCTATATCCTCATCCGGGGACAGACGCAGTAGCACATCCCCCGCGCCCGACCTTTTCCCTCCACCCCCCAGCCTTGGCTTCCCTTCCTCGACCAGGAAAACACCCACCCATATCCATTTGGAGCGGCTCAAATGTTAGGGTATTCGGGAGCTGCAAAATATCGCAAAATATCGCAAAACTAAGCTCGGCTTAGCTCAGGCCAGCATGAGCCGGTTCATGATCCTCCGGAAAGGTGAAAAAAGACGCGGTCCTTGACTCCTAGGCAAAGACGGTTACCTCGGGCCATCGCTCATGCGCCGCCTTCTTGAGGGTCTCGGCTTCGCTGCTTCTCCACGCCTTGAGAGTATCGTAGACTTCGGCGGCGAGCTCGAATGTGGCCTCGGGCGCCTTGACGACGTTGGCGAGGTCGGCCTCGGTTTTGGGTCGGTCCTCCCCAAGAACTCTCCGGGCCTTGAGCGCGGCGACAATGTACGAGGGCTTGGACTTGTTGTTCGCCAAGAACTCCTCGTTGTACTTCTTCAGGTCGCCAGCAGGGGGCGTAAACTCGGACTTGATGAGTTCTTGCACCTTCGCAGGCAGGCTCTCGAGGGCGGGTCGGACAACGTGAGCGAACTCGACGACCCGCTCGTGGACTCCGGGGTGAGCCTCATCCAGTTCACGGGCAGCGTTGAGGCAGCGTAGCGCGAGAACGTACTTCTCTGAAATTATGTTAGCACTGTCTGCAATGATGGAGGGTTGTGAGAAGGCTTACTCCGGCGCAAGTAAACGTCGAAGCCGGCAAACTGGGCCTGGATGTTTTTGGGGCTGAATTGCAACAGAGGGGTGACGAAACGCATGGCGGCACCGAGGGGCTCGGCGTCTAGGAGCTTGAGGCCAAGAGGATCCTCGTCCTTCTTCTTCGGTTCTTCGCTAGGCTTGCCCTTGTTGGGGTCCTGTTTCGATGCGCGCTCGGCGGCTTCGCGCTCCAGACGCTGCTGCTCCTTCTTGGCTTTCTTGGCGGCCTTCTTCCTCTCAGAGGCGTCGTCGCCGTTGGCATCGCCGTTGACGCCGTTCGCCGACGGACGATCGGCGCGCTTGAGGTAAATGGCCACGGCGTCCAACGCAGCTCTCGAGTAGAAGGGGTGGTCACGAAGGTGATCCTCCCATCGGATCATGTCGACATAGGCTCGGATTTGACCCTTTCTAAGAGAGAAGCTGTGGAAGTCAAACTGGTCTTCTTGCCAAACATCGAAAATGTTGTGGACGGTGTGGAATCGCTTGAGCGCCAGGGCGTCGTCGCCCTGTCTGGCACACGCCTCACCCTCCTCTGTCAGGTACCAGACACACTGCATGTCCAGGAGATCGGCAAGCGGCCCGCCGACGGTGTCCGCTCTGGTGAACAGACCGACAGTCTTCAGTGCCTTGTCGTTTTCGTTGTTACGCAGCTGGTATTTGGCGGCCTTGGTGTTGATGTAGCGGTCCCGGGTATCCAGGGCACGGGCCTTGTCCATGGTCTCGGAAGCCTTTTGGAGGTTGCCCTGGTGCTTCCATATCCTGGCCTTGGTCATGGTGAAGTCGACGCTGTCGGGAACCTTCTCGATAGCCTTGTCGACGTACTCGTGAGCCTTGGCCAGATCGCGACTCAGGTGGTAGTTGTAGTGTTGAGCGAGGAAGTAGAGGGCCGCGGCTTCGCCCTTTGAGCGATCGCCATTGGTCGATCCCGAGCTGGAATCATGGGACTCCAGGTACTCCTGAGCCAAAGCCTCTAGGGCCTCCTTCTTTGAGGAATCGGAGTAGAGGTGCTTCAGGTTGGCGAACGTTGAAGGAACACCCTTATTGAACATGAACGTCAGGTACTCCCGGGCCGCAGTGCGGAAAGCATCGCCTGGAGACGTTAGTGACACACAAAACCAAGCCACGAGGGCAGACCTACCGGACAAGAAGCTCAGGGGCAGACGGCGAGGCGCATCTGAACGGGGAAACTTCTTGGCGTATGTTTCGTAGACTGCTTTCCTGGCATCCAGATCACTGTCGGCAAAGCCATGGGCGCTCTCCAAGCCCTCGAAGTAGGCAGGACGGTCCGGGTTGCGCTCAACAAGAGCCTCCCATGCGGCAACGGCCTCCTCCTTCTTGGCCAACTTGACCAAGTACTTGGCGCGCAGCTCCAAGTATTCAAGTCTATCGAGGCTGTGCTTTGCGGCAGTCTCGAGGTGCTCGAGGGCCCGCTGGTAGTCACCCTGCTCTGCAATGATTGTGTTCTTGTACATGACGGCCTCGGAGTTCTCGTAGTCTCCCCGGGAAGGCGTGGACTTGAGCGTGCCCTCGTAAGTGGTCAGGACGTTCTCGGCCGCGGACAAGTCACCGGCGAGGTGATGGGCAATGGCCAGCGCAGTCCAGCTCTGGCGCAGCTGGGGGCGCGCCTGCAGCATGGCTGTGCGACTCTGGATGTACCCGGCATAATCGCGCATCTGCACCTGGAGGATGGCCAGGTCCCGTTGGATTTGAGTCGACTCGGGCTCAAGCTTCAACGCAAACTTGTAGGCCTTGATGGCCTCCTCGAAGTTCTTGTTGGCGCGGTACAGCAGGCCGTAGACGTGCCAGCAGATGTGCGACTTCATATCCACCGTCAGAGCTTCCTTGCCCAGCGCAAAGGCCTCCTCGGTCTTGCCCTGCGCGTTCATGATGAGAGCCTTCATGGCCATGGTGTCGCCATGCTTGGGGTTCTTCTTGAGGATGAGGTCCGCGGACTTGAGGCCGCGCTTGTACTGCTTGTCCTCATAGGCGCGGATGACGGCTCGAAAGAGGGAAGCCTCTTTCGAATTGAGAGGTTGCGGCATCGGATCGGTATTTGGCCGGAGTTGGAGCCACCGGCACTAGTGTGAAAAGAGGTACGGCTCGTCGAGGAAGAGCAGAAAGAAACGAGGCTGCGGCGGCTTGTGTGACGCCGGAAATGCGAAATGTCTACCTGGATGCTGAATCGCAGGACTTTTGCCTGGAGGGGCCGTCGAGGAGGGGTAGCTGCAGTCGTCTGACCGGAACGGCTATTCGAGGGGAAAAGAGGGCGGGATCGACGGGCGGGATGCAAAGAGCAGAGGCCGGTTGTGTCGGGGACCGAGTCTCGTGTCTTTTCGAGGAGAGAGAGAGGTGGTGTGGGATGTTGGTGAAGGTGGAAGATGGTCGAGACGTGAGTCCACAATTGGAGCTGAGTGTTCACAACGGAATTGAAGTTGGAGAAACTTGGTGCTTTCGGCCACACAGATGTTCCAAGGCTGCGGCGGGCTGGCTGGCCTCTAGGCTTCGGGCCCTTCAGTGGCCGCCCATTTGCCGAGCCCAGCCAGAGAGAACACCTGAGCGTACCGTCCAGCGGCACCGCGGGGGCTGATGGTGGGGCAAAGCCACTGGAATGGCCGCCTTTTACTGCAGGCGTGCGCGCACGTTCCACCCAGCAGTCGTTTGTTCGGTGGGGGACGTTTTTTCGACTGCTAGAAATCGTATCGTCATGGATGCTGACTGCAGCATGTGGACTAGAGACGCAACGATCGTTGAGCCAAGGTACGAGAGAGAACCTATTTACTTTTTGCTCCTTGTTGTTCATGGTGTAAATATTGTCCGGTGTTTCTGCCCAGAACTCGATCGAGGCTTGCCTTTCTGTGCTTCGAAACGACCAGCCGTGCCATGAGGTAGCTATGGCCGGAATACTTTCACCTTTCTCTTCGGTCTATCATTACTTATCCGGCCGTGTGTTACAATGTTGGTACAAAATGTACAGTTATCGCGTGGTGCCCTGCAGCTGCGCCTAGTACATCAGGCTGGACTTCATCGCTCGTCTCCCTCCAGGCCAGTCCTCCGTCGCCAACTCTCCAGGGCTTGTTCCCACGTGTCCGCAGACTCGCCGCACCTTTGCTTAACCATGTCCCAGGTCCGTGTCCGCACGATGTTCTCGATGCCCTTCTCCTGCCGTATGAGCATCGCGAGCTGCTCCGTCCGGGGTTCCCGCGGGAAGAACCTAGCCGAGTAGGGGTCCAGGCGCTCGTCAACAACCCGCTCCTTGTCCTTGGCGTCCTCAATCTGTCGCAGCAGAGCTTCGGGGTCATCGGGGTCAGGGCTCGTTGCAACAACTCCGCAATAGTGTAGAACCTCTGCGCGGGCGTGCCATGTCGGAAACAGCGCTTTATCCTTGAAGTTCTGGCACGCCTGGGGGTCTATCTGTCGCGGGAATGTGCGCGACGTCCGTTGTGCCGTGGAGGTCGGGTCAAAACCAGCGCGGGCGGGTGTTACTAGCGCGTTGAGGTTCTGGGTTATTGAGTCGTCGATGCTGGCACGGGATAGTCTAAGAAAGGCTGGTGGGACATATTAGAGAGCTGCCGTTTTCTGGAGAGGTAACGGATAATAGTTATTGAGCAACCAACCTCTCAAAGACCCTGTTGAGAAACAGAACTGTGGCGTGAGGTGCGGTTGAGGCGGCGGTTGGGTCATGGTATCCTCGGGGAGAGGGTTCGAGGGTTTTGCGCCGGCCGCCACGGATGACGACTCTTTCTTCCAGAGTATGCCCGCCAGGTTGACAGATGTTGTTCGAATATTTGTCTGTGGTGCTGAACGATGCAGAAACGAAATGGTAAAAGATTGAACGTCGAGGTTTACGAGAACCCAAAATGTTCCTAGGAGGTGATGACCACTGCAAGTTGGATTACGTCGTCAACGGCAAGCTATAGAAGAGCGAGCTCGGAGCATGAAATGCTTGGGCGATGTACCTACCTAGGTAGGTACTTACCTAGGTACAGAGTAGTAGGTAGACAGGTGTCTACTCAGGTACCTAGGTAAGCAGGTGCCCTTGGTAGGCTGAGATGAGCTCCAATTAGTGTGAACAGTCCAACCAATTACATATCAAGATGAGTTTTTGGAATGGATCGGACTATCATAGGACCGCGACACGAGGGCCCCACGAGACGAGCCAGTGATCCATTCGTGTTGCCTCGCTGGTCTGTGCCCGCCGAATGTGGCCTTATGCACCGTTGGTCCCTGCTCCAGAGTGGGTTTCCAGGGATTATCAGGGTCAGTCAATTTCTCTTTTCTTTTCTTATCTCTTCTCTCCCACGTGTTTTTCTGCTTTGACCGAACCTTCGGTCTTTGAGCAATATTTCCAGTGGCCTGGCATGCTTTTCCGTAGCTCCGGGAGCCACAACCAAATGCAGTTTGTTCGATCCGAACCTCGGCGTTGTCCCCACCTCCGTTTATCCTGCATCAGTTCAATATTACTATGGTACCAGGCCGAAGTTTTTGACCCCGGCTAGGTAAATGATGTTCACTTCCCCTACTGCAGGACTTCACTTTTGGTGAATATTACCCCTCTATTATGATATTAGCTGTTGGGGGCAACATCATATGGGTCAAAGACTTACCCCTGCCGCCCTGTATGTACCTGTGTGACCCTAACTACATACCTACGGGGGGGGACCGCCTTGGATCAGTACCTTAGTCACTTGACAAGCGTCAATCTCGAATTCTGTCAGACCCTTGCCCGTGATACGATCATAAACCATCAGAGTACCTACAGTACCTCAAGGCCCCTCCCATCCAACCCCTACCCCCTGGACACACAGACGTCAACATCCATCACTTGACTATCTTAGGATCTGTTCCCAGGTTGCAAGCCTACCCTCTTTCAGTCTGGCCTATTCTCATATCCCCACCATATTTATGGAGATGAGGTTTCGTTTCACCCCGGTGAGCCAACCATCATCTCCCGTTGATCTCAATACGCAGGCTTGATGAATCGGCACAGACACGATGTTGGCTTTTCTACCCGGGGGGGGTTATCCTTCTTTTTTCCCTTTTGTTCTTCGACCGTGAACCGGGGGATCGCTTCCCGTACAAAGACATCAGAATTTCTCGCCTTATCCCCCACACTGTCGCCTACATAACTTGGTGTCATATCTGCATTGCCAGGCCTAGCAGTGCTTCATCTCGCCAAGCTGCGCCTTCAATATCCCCCCCTTGCCTAGCATCATCGCCCCAGCTACCGTATTGGGACCGCACCGTTTTGTTCTGGACTATGGGGGGAGCCCTACGTGCTCGTCAGGTTCGCTCCCCCAGCCCCACGAGTCAACGTTGCACATTATTTTCCCCTCTCACATAACCTAAAAGACGACGACTTCCTCTCCAACTTTGTTGGACCCATCTCTGACCTCGACGCCATCTTGCACTAATGCCTTCGCCTTTTGACCAGTCCGGCCATGGACTTCCCGGGACGTCTCCCCGGCGCAGGCCTGGCCGATTTGATACGCGCTTCGGAGCTCCTTGCTGACCGATTCGATCTTGTGGCCAAGAGCCTCAACACGGCACCAGTCACCTTGGCTGCCGTCGCCAAAGAATGCCGTGCCGTCACGGATGCTCTGCGCCGGTTCGAGTACCTCCGCGAAACCATCCCGGAAACACTGCCTTTCGATCCTGTTCTTCTCGACGAGTCTTGCCATGACGCCTTGAACTCCATTTTCAACGACTTGTCGTCACTCGATGTCTACAGCACACGCATCCGCCCTGCCACGAGCGACAATAATGTCGATATGTCCTCGGGTCAGATCACCATCATCTGGAATGAACCATATTTAAAACAAATGATTCGTCAAACCAAAATCGGCCGTCAATCTCTCGCCTTTCTTCTAAATTGTGTTCCAAGGTCGGTCAGTCACAGCCCGCTTGATCAACCTGTACTTACACCACAAACTCAGCGAACATGTTACATCCAAAAACCTCTCTACATTTATGCATTCTTCTCGTTCAGTGCCATGGCATTGCGCCATGAGCCCAGCAGTGCTTAACAAAGGCAGCCGCTTGCGGCTATCAACTACTAGGGTTCGCCCGCGACCTGACATCTACCCTATCAGCGACCTGTCCGAGATTCACTCGGCCCTGAAGAGACTCAAGCCGCCACCAGGCACAATTTATCGGCAAAGCCCGCGAACGACCAAGGATCTTCACGACGCCATCGACCGCGAAGACGAGGCTGCTGTGGTGAAACTATTGCTTCAGAGAATCGATCCAAATATACCTCGCTTTGGCTCAAAGCTTTCGCCTCTGCGCCGCGCTCTCGGCCGCCAGATCCCATCCCTCGTGACGTTTCTGGTTATGGCCGGTGCAGACCTCGAGGACCGCGATGATCAAGGCGAAACGATCCTGATCACGGCCGTCAAGTACGCGTACTCTGAAAAGATCATTGCACTGTTGTGCGACCTTGGCGCAGACGTCAACGCTGTTGACAACCTGGGATGCTCGGCTGTTCACCATGCCGCCATGTCAGCTAACGAAGACGATACTCTCGCTGTGCTTGTACATGCTGGAGCGGACGTCGATCACAGGGATTTCGCGACCCGGACGCCTCTAATAGCAGCTGTCCAGAAATACCGTTTCAAAAGCATCGAGAAGCTAATCGAATACGGCGCAGACCTAGAAACTCGTCTGCAAAATGGCCAGACGGCGCTCCATGTCGCCATATCAATGAAAAGCAGGCCCATGACAGAGTTTCTCTCAGATCAGGGTGCCTACCTCGACCGACGGGTCAACGGGCATACCGCCTTGACATACGCAATAGTCACGGAGTGTTCCGATATCGCCGAGGTGCTGATCGAGGCCGGTGCCGATGTCGACTTACCTGGTTCACAAGGTAACTTCCCGCTACAAGCCGCAGCCGCGGCTGGAGACCAACGCACCACGAAGCTTCTACTTTCCCGAGGAGCCAAATACGAAGCCGTTGGAACTGACGGGTTTCTACCCGTTCACATAGCAGCCCATGTGAATCAAGTCGAGGTGCTGCGGCTCCTACTCAAGGCCGGATCCGCGATCGACCCCATCACCGAACGCGGTGAGACTCCCCTCGCAATTGCAACGCACTTTGGATGCTTCGAGGCCGCTCAGTTTCTAATCGAAGCCGGCGCGGACGTCGACTACGCCACACCTGGGGCGGACAATATCATCTGTCAGGCACTGAAAGCCGGCCACACCCGCATCGCCGTAGCTCTGGTCCAAGGAGGTGCGGACATCACTTACACGTTACTACGAAACGCCAGCATGACGCCGCTGCATCTTGCAGCCCACTATGGGCAAAACGACGTCCTTACCGCCATGGTCAACGCAGGGGCTGACCTAGAGATCCGAACCTGGCCTGGCTTCACGCCGCTCTTTCCCGCCGTCCGGGCCGGCCATCTTTCTACTGTGCGCCTGCTCCTAGCAGCCGGCGCTTTTTCGAGAGTGCGGTCGATGTCAGGCGCGAATCTGCTGTTTGTCGGCATTGCCGAGCCCGCCATGATGAAGCTCCTCATAGAGCTCGGGCTCGATATCCACGAGCGCGACCACCACGGCGCAACGCCACTCCATTATGCAGCTCTACATGGCCACACTGCAACGGTGAAGCTCCTACTGCAGCGGGGCGCGATATTGGTCCATGCGAGCGCAGTCTATGACACGCTCCATGACTACAAGCAGAAAGGCCCTTATCGCCAGGGTACTCCCGCCGGCCTTGCACGGCAAAATGGTCATATCAAGATCGCTCGACTAATCGAGGGCTGGAAATACAAGCCCTGAGGGGCAGTTCGTACGATCTGCCCGTAGTTTTTATCTCTATTAAACCCCACTTTCTACCCCTATATTTTCTTTCCTGTCATATGTTTACGGAGCTATCACGGCATCATGAGATACCCGAAGTTTATAGTCAAGCGTTTACTGACGTACGTATCAATCACCATCGGCCTGAACAGGTTTTTTTTTCCCTTTATCCAAATAAACTACATGAACGACCTCAGATAAATGTTACCAAGGTGATGACTCTGTTTGCGTGGATGGGGCAATCGGTATATCGTGCACAATGCCTCCACAGCTTCCAATGTTTTTTCTACCATCTTCCTCGATTTCAAGATTCTATCTCCCTTTACCAATAGCCCTCTAGCCCTCTTGCCTCGAGCACCCACGAGCTCAGATACATAACGAACCCCATCCGACTCCGCAGCCCATGTCGCCGAGCCTGATTCCGTTGCGTTTTCAGACACCAATTGCAGTTCTCGAAGAGCGAAGCAGCACGTTGCTCCTGAGGTTGGTAGGTGCTAAATCGTCGTCGTCTACACGGGCAACAAATATGTCCAGAGTGCATATCAAATGCCTGTATCTGTATCAAGAATTGTCGTGCGCTAAAAATGGGGGAAGAAGTCGGACCACTCTGGGGTTTCATACAATGCGGAAGGAGCTTCTCTCAAGCTGAGGAAAGCCTCGACAACCAAGAAGACTCTCGCTATCACAAACACAACGATAATCGAAACAAGAACCAACGATTTCACCTTCCTCATCCACGGCTTCTGGTAACGCGCGCTGGTCAGTCGTGCCCCTGGTGCCGCTCCAGAAACGAACACGTCGAACCATGGCCAAGCTTGCCGCGCAAGGAAAAAGATCCACAGAGCAACCCCGGAGCACGCAATGACCAGAGACGCGACGAGCCACATCCTCCGTTCTATCTGCGTTGGGAAGTGATCGACCCAGCCAATGAGATGAAGCCCGCCGTACGCTGCCGCAGTGAGGGCGAGGAGCGAGCGCAGCACGTCGCGGTGAATGTTGACCTGGCCAAGACCGAGGTTGGAGATGGACGGGAAGTTGACAATGTGAGACACGATGTATTCCGTCTCTCCGAGGAAGACGCCAACGGTCGGGACGAAGGTAAAATAGTATGGTGTGTATGTCGGGCGGGCGGCACACATAGCCCATAGGCCGTCTGCGGCCTTTGCGGCCTCCGCCAGGCGGACCGGGTTAACGGGGTTGTGTTTGTGAGACTTCTGATACTGCTGGACGTCGGCGAAGATCCTCCGGCAGTAGAGGTTACTATGGCGCAAACTAAGATTGATGTACGGCGGCACGAAGTACGTCTGTAAACACTCGGGTGAAACTGTAGGTTTAGACTGATCAATATGATACATGTACGCGCTTCGCGGAACCCTTTGCGTGTGTTTTTCGACAGTTAGGGGTGATAAGTGCGGTCGAATATCGCTTATATCAAACCCAAGAAATCCGGAAGGCTCTCTGGTGCCGGGTGACCCGATGGACAAATGCGTCGTGATGAGGATCTTGGCAGCGCGCTGGTCTTGACTCCCCTCGCCTGTAACTTCTTGTCCTGGCATATACTGGAAGCACCGAATGTCTGTTACACCATTTATAGCGTCTATGGATGAGCAGACTGTCATCAACGACAGAAGGTCATCGGTGTCCCCCTCCAGTACCGTTGGATCCATAACATCGAAGGGTTTGCTCCACCAAAGCAGGTAGAGAACCACGGCGCATGCGACGTGCCCACATGTGTTGATCTCCAATAGCGACACAGGGAGCTTCTTTATGAGACGTCCAATGACTTGGGTGACCATCCATCCGGCCTGGATGCAGACGAGAGACTTGGCCATCCAGTCTGCTTTGCTCTTGTCCTGGATCTGCGATTCATGGATGTCAGGCAGCTTCCCGGTAAACGATAGAAGTCTTAGGCCCTCCGGTGTGACGGTAACCCTCCTGAACGCGTCATCTTCGTTGTCGACAGACGGCAAGTCGACAACAAAGCCGCCCATGACGGCGTAAAAGCACTGCATCATATCCCACGTGTGCCTTGAGGGCATCTGGCCATCTCTCCCCTCTGTTCTGTCTAGTGGTTCTCCTGCACTCTGGCGATGAGCAGTGTCCTTTTCGATCTCTCTTTTCAGCCATCGCGCAACGATGTATTGCGCCGCCGCCGTCGCCACGACAAGCTCAGGAGCGAAGATGCCATAGAGTACCCACTTCGCCCTTTCTAGTGCCCTGCTCCTCAGGGTGGAGCGGACGGGGGGAACGTTGAGGTGGAGGGCCGTCCAGACGCATATTGTCAGAGTGAGTACGCAAGAGCAGATTAGGCCGAAGGTACCTCGCCCGTTGGGTTCCGAAGCCCAACCGGTTGTTGAGGAAGAGGCGTTGGCGGATCCCAGTATCGGGAGGAGAAAGGAAGAGCTCAAGATACGAATCATTGATATCGCCGTTTGCAGTTTTTCACATTCATTTGGTCCGCGTGTTAGTATCTGAGGGGTGTATGGTGGCCCATTTCAAGAGAAAACCTATGTCGAGTCTGGGTGAGGAGTTGCGGTTAAATACTTTGAGTGGCACCCGCTCGTGTAGGGTGCGCCACGATGCGGGAAGACATAGGAACTGGTCATAAGCGCTGCGGTTAGTTGAGAAACATGCATGGAGCTAGAAGCTGGAGCAGGGCTTCGCCACCACCAACCAGGGTGAGGAACCAATAACGATGGCTATCGTTGCACCGTTGTAAGAAAATCATGCTATTCGGGTTGGGAAATGGAAATATGCCTTCAGAGGCTTTCTCATGCAAAACATCCAGACCATGGCTGCAACCTAGGTACTAATGTGTCGTTCCTAGGACACGAGCCTTGCACAACACTTCTCGATGGTCAAGCCTGCAAGTCTAAGCTAGGTGATCGTGTTTTCATAAAACAGGCCATTTGCTTTGGTCGTTTTTTACCAACGAGGAATCCGTAATGAGGGTGTTGAGCTGCATAATCTGAAATATGTCAGGAACAAGATAAAACTGCACACGACGACAATATGCCGACTAGCAGATGAGGAAGTGGGTATGAAACTGAGCTAGCTCTTGTTCTTGGAATCAACGTTGCAACACATCTCACACAAAGTTTATCTTTTTGATCCTCTTCGGGCCAGACATAACGTCCCAATCCATCGTTTCCCATTCCATCATGCCGTCGACAAACGCTTCGCCGATCAAAAGCCACAATGGCGTGTCTTGCCCCGACTCATCCTTGAGTCGTCTGGTGATGACGGGTCTCCCATGCCCAGTTAACACCATGACAGCATCTCCTGGTTGAGCAAGAGCAAGCGCCAGCCCAAGGAGCCCCGAGTTCGTGCTTACAAGACGACGGTTCCTCGTGCGTGTTTCCATGGCTTGCCGCGCGGCGCACGTGGTCAAATTTCTCTTAGCGTCCCAGTCTTCTCGGGGGAAATGTTCGAAGTACGAAGACGAGGGCTGATGTCCGATCAAAAGATCAGCACTCGAATTGATAAAATGCTAGTTCCTGTAAAAAGGCGATTTGGTATATGGCTCGTCCTCTGGGATTATTTCAGTCATGTCAGCTGATATGCTTCCGAACTGCAGTCATCAAGCTATTAGAGAGTGCATTCGTACCTGGAAAGGCATGATAAAGGCAATCGAAAGATTGCTTTGTTCCCTGAACATCGGCACTACAAGTCAATACCCAAGACACCCGAGGCCCTTCTATCAATCTCTTCGCCACTCGGCTACGATGCGATTCCGTGTCCACAAAGTCATGTGTAGCCTCCGGGCCGAACTCTGAGCTGGATGTGTACTTCCCCGTTGGCTGGACGACACCCGCCCGAGAGTATGAAGCATAACGACTTCCTATTTCCATGTCTGGCTTGTATAACGCTCCAACACCATCGACAATTTCTGCAATGAAACCGTAGCATGTAAGGACCGTTTCTTCTCTCATCTTTGGCTCCAAATTGAGGCCATCAAACACGAACGCTTGCTTGTTGCCGCTGGCATGCCAGTTTCCTTCAATCTTCCCGATTTGTTGCTCAGGGGTCCTGGCAAGATATGGGACCCATGATGGCAGGCGTCTTCGATCCCACAGTCTTCCCTGAGCATCCCGTATAGGCATTCCACATCCATCTATCAGCGAGAACAATTCAAGACTCTTGCCCTTCGTGACATAAGCCACTGTAAACTCGGTCAGAACGGTGGTGATGTGTTTGGTATAGTCCACTGTGAGCCCAAGATCTGGAAGCCTCACTTTCCCATTTCTTTCCCGCCTCCCAAAACCAAAGAGTCGCACGCTCTTTTACTGTCCAGTAAGCCCTTTTGTTGAAGGTGGATGGCTTAGGTGCATGGCATGCAAAGCTAGGTTGGTTCAATTTTTAGGTTGGCTAATTAAGCTAGGCATGTTACGAATTACATTCACAGGTACCTTCTGTAGATATATTCAACAACAGAAACAAGCTCCCTGTTCGAAGTCAAGATTGGGCAAAAGAGTCATCATATGAAATGGGGGAGTTGACGATTTGCAATGGGTAGAATTGGCGGATCTGCGCCTGCCCGCAACCCACCCATGCCGCAGCCAAAGGGTTAAGCCGAAAATGGCCTCGGTCCACCATCCCCCTCCGGCTGTGTGTTCTAGTGGATTATGATTTCTCGTTCACAAGTATGTGCACTTGATCCCGAGAAGGTCGCAGGTTCGAGCCCTGCCACGGTCATAGTCAAAGTTTTTTTGCTATATTATATAATAATATTTGCTACAGCTATCCCGGAAGCTTTGCTTCATGTTCTTACTAGCAAGTAGCCTTAAATTCAATGTGTGGTGTCGAGCTGTATTCTTGATTGTTTGAGATACTTTTTTGTTAGTTTGTTTTGTTTATAGCTTCATAGAGCACCGAAGCGTTGTTAGGTCTTGATCTGTTAGAAAACGATGTATGCTTCTAATACGTGCTAGTCTCTGTAGTAGACTTGAACAAAACACCAAAAATTTAATCCAAGGAGCCTTGGGATCATTTGGGTACGCGGAGTGATTGACGGTGACCTCCATTACTGATAGCGCAGGTTGTAGCCTTGTGGTTCTGCTTTCCGAATGATAAAATCGCCCGATGTTTGTTGGTAATAACATAGCCGCGAGATAAGAATGAGGGTTCCAAGCCAAGATGGTGATCTAGGGCAGACTGATCAACGGATGGCGATGTTGGTTCCTGTTACCTGAGCATGCGGGAAATAGGCGCCAGCAGGTGCCAAGACTGACCGCCGGCGCCTAGATCCTTGTTCGTACATCTGAAAACAAGCTGAATTGGGAACATACCTTTCAAAGTAGCGCAAGCAGTAGCCCGTTCAGCGCCACCCAAGTGATATGGCTGGCTGGGTTTCTGTTCAACAACAGAAGGAGTACGAACTTCGCAAAACCCAGACTTTGAAGTAGACGAGGCTCTGGCTTGGTAGATTAAGAGGGCTGCCAGGGCAATTATAGCATTTTGCAGGAGATATGTACACTGGGACACGATAGGACAGGTTCCCTATCTACAAGCTAAATGGATCTTCTTAATTGCTAGACAAATTTCTTTCTCGATTGATTACACTGGTGAATGCTGAGTAGTCTATTCTGGGGAAGTCTCTCCTCCGAATCAAACCTGACAAAATGGAAGCCATTCTCGCGTCTCACTCTATCGAATATCAAGTGAAGTTTACAACCCTCTTCATACTTGGCTCAGATGTCTCACCAATGGCTCACAGATAGAACCCCGAACCGGCAATACTCCAAGTCAGAGATTCCTCTTGCATGGCCGCCTCCTCTTTCACCTATTGCCCCGGCATCCCTTTTACAATACTCAAGACCTAGCCAGCGGGTAGTTCAGCTTCTGCGCCCCCAAGACGCCGAGTATCCTTCCATTGGATGACTTGTAGGCCGTCGAGGGTATCTGAGCCCCGTCATTTCCCCATCAAGACTCTACGACGGGCTCTTCGACATCCCTTTCGTGACCCGCTGAGGCTCCAACTCGAACTCCCGTACCTGGCCGCTACTGCTTAGCTGAAGCGTCGGGGGTTCTGGCAAGGATCCGTGTAAGCTGGGATGGGCTGATGTGTTTGAGGGCCCGAAGCTGAGGCTGGGGTAGTATCAGACGCGGAGGCCGTATACGGAGAGCCTCTGCACCAATTCGGGCCATGATCGTCCCAGGTCTGGAGATTTTCCATTGGCGCCGCACCTCTCAAGCACTCTCTTGGATGTTCGCGGGGTAACCCGACCTACACATGGCGGAAGGAGCTCGACTCTAAGCAGATGAGCTCAAGCCATGGGTATACAGACTTCGAAGGGTCCATGGTTCTTTGGTAGCGGCAACGGAGAGCCTTGATCGTATGATACTCCCGAACTAGAATTCCATGAAGTCGAAGAAGTTGACTGTGGCGGAATCTTTCGGATTATGTCCACTGGAGCTGACATGAAGGGCGACAGACCAACTGCGATTGTGAAATCCATGAGAGCGGGATGTGCTTAGCTACTTGTGTGCCCTCACAATAAACAACCCGAAAAGCTGTCTCAAACCACCCGTGGCCGTGAATAAAGTGCCAAGACGAAGATACCGTAATATAAGAAAGAATAAGATTGATGTAGGAACCAGTTTCTCTAGGAAACGGGACTGTCATCTAATAAATTTGCCAGCGACTTGCATCTGAACAACTTGCCTGAAGTCAATCGCTACTCTCCCCAAAGTCCGATTCTACATAGTACGAACCACACCTCTGAGATTCCCATATTAAAAGAAGCGACTTACAGCTCAAGACCCGGCAGAGCACATCAATAAGCTTGGGTACCAATTGCTTAATGCACCAACTACTTTTCGTGTTAAGCTAACTTCAGGGTGCATGTACAGACCACGGAAATGTTGGCGGATGGTGGGATGGGAGGAAGAAGGGCAAGGCCACCCCCCGGCACATGACTAGTGGGAAGATGGAAAAGATCTTCAGGGTCGGAAAGTTGGGACCAAGTCAACCATGCTGATTGATATAATAAATGGCCCCGGCGCGGGCTCGGTTGCGAAAACAGGTCTATCTTTGGACTGTTCTTGCGTCGATTACTTGGCGTTCGGGCACGAAACAGTGAACAAGTAACGTCAAGCCAACCGAGAACCTCGCATAATGGACGGCGCTCTTCTGCATGACGACTTTCGGTATGAACGATTCCCAAACCATCACCGAACACTTGGACTTGGCCGAAAATACGGTTATGTTGGTTCTGGTGGTCGCAGGGCAATGCTACGGTACAGAAAGCACCTGGATCGGGGCGCGGACACGGCCTCCGCCGGACACTAAGGCTCCAGTTCTGCGGGGGACGGGAAAGGTCGAAAATAGGATCGCTCCGTAAACGATTAACGAGGCGAGGCGACGTGACATGGACCAGGTGTCGAAGGCAGCCTACTGTTCTACCGCTGCCACCATGGGGACCATAACCATGGATGTCTTTCAATGATAAGTGACGAGAGATTGCAAATGAGATTGACGAAATATTGAGCTCTTGCCCGATTCTCCCAAAAGTGGCCGGGAATCAATAGTGTGGCTGACCCTGGGGGTGATGCATGAAGATGCACAGTCGATTGGAGATGAGCATGGGAACCCCATGACTATGGCTGGGTACGAGATGGAGGCTGAAAAGGAGATGCTGGTCGCATGGTTGCGAGCAGGGATGTCGTTGTAGGCGGGATTTATGAGCAGCAGCTCGCAGCAGTGGATTGACGAGCCAAGCCACTCAGAAAGCCACTTTGGCCACGCTGTGGTCATTTGGGTGATGGAGGAGCGCTGATGAGCAGGCCCAAGGAGAAGAGACTGCCGGATATCGATTGAAGAATAATCTCCTAGGCGGGATTTTCATTTGGACACCGTCACGCTTTGGTGGGAAATGGCAGACCTTTGACGACAGGCCACGCGGTGCTCAGTGAGCACTACGGCGCGAAGCGAGACTAAGAACCGGAGGCTGGGCGTTTTCCAGGCCTCTATATCCTGGTATGGCATGGATGGTGATCAGCTCCCAATCATTATGATGACGACGAATATAGGACGGTATGCATCGAAAAGAACAGACTAAGCGAGACCCCTAGCCACCTGGATGTGCTGATGTACGAATACAGCTCTCTCCCGAACGAGCGGCCCGGTATGGCTACGGCTCTTGCCGGGCTTGCTTACCTTGTCCTCCTAGCTTTGTTTGGGGGCTCGGGCATGAGAGGGGACAGGGGGGGAAGCATATGAAATGGCGACGAGCGGAAAGGGGGAGAGGGGACATACGTAGTAAGGAAGAGGGAGATGATAGATGCGAGAAAGAGAGGGGGCTTATCGGCAGGAGAGCAATCAACATGGCTAGGTATGTAACACGAGAACAGGGCAGATAAAAGCAGCGTCGTTGGTTGTAAGGTGAAGAAGATGGCGGCGGTGCAAGGGGTGCTACAGAGCTTCGAAAGTGATGCCGCGGCGGTCGCCAATGACAATGACGCCGACCCAAGAAAAAAACCAATATTCCGCCTCTGCCTGTCGCGTGAGAAACGTCCACAGCTGAGATTGAGAATGAGGTCAAGTCAAGGTAGCGCCTCAGTGGCCCACTGAAAGTGTGGCTTTGGTATAATTGCTAGTTCATGCGAAGAAGCGTATGGTACGAGTTAGCGATTCGTTGCACTGGTTGGGGTGGGGGGCATTCGGTGGTACAGGAGATGAAATTTGATGGAGCTACAAGTACGTGGAGGAGACTGGGCTAGACCTCCTGATGGAACAAGCAGGAGCAGTACTGGGTTACGTAACACAGCAGGGAGACGGCGCTAAAGCAGGACCCAGTAGAACTTGGGACACAAGTACCTCGGAATACTGGGTCAAGTCTCTTTTCCGTACCGGGCCGTGTACAGAGAGTCTGACATGAATAATAACGATGATATACATACTACCTAGTACACGTACAAGAGCTTAGTGACCCGGGGGAGTTAGGCAAAGAAGAAGTAAAAAAAGACTACTGTTCCTTTTCGTCGGCGCGACTTCAAAATCCGGCTTTCCGTACTACTTACCACATGGGTGGCCGAATGGTCGCTTTATGCCGTGCAACCTGGAAAGTGTTCAATGGACATAAGTCAAAAGTATCGCTCCCGAGATGCATCGACCTGACTAAGACGGAACGGAGCCGCTGGGGACGTGGCTGGCATATCAGAAGGAAGGCAGAGAATGATTGTCAACAGCGGTCTCTTTCCAGTCACGGAAACCGGCCCCGGGCTCACCCAAGTTCCGGGGGGAGGGACAACACGGGGGCTGGCAGGAGCTGGGAGGGGGAAGGAGGGGACCTCCTATCAGTTGCAGAAAGGGCAGGAGTTTGAGAAGGTAAGAGATCATGAAGCATGGTCAGGATGACGGTCGGATTGTATCAAGTTTAACCCTTCACCGACGGAAGGGCTGCGGGAGGTTCCGGACAGCCTCCAAACACCTAACACCTCAGAGCTAGAGAGGTGTATCGGACAAAGGGTCGAGTTCAGAGAGTAGGAGTGCCGAGGTAAGGAGGTACTAGACATTCAATTTATCCATCATCATATAAGTTTAGATAGGTAGGTATCGTATCATTGTATACCTGTGCCTGGATAACCTTAGGTGGTAGGTGTCGTACGTATACGTGTACATCATACGTTAGGTACGTACATATAGCGGCGGGGATCTCTAGCCGCTCGGTTCAGTGGAAAAGACGAGTTGAATTCCACTGGGCTAGGTAAGAAAGCCCACCTACCTAGTGAATAAGAGGGGAATTTATTCATGATATTTTATTCCTATTTTCCCACCCGGGCTGTACTTCCCGATCGATACGTATCTTTTGTCGTGCTTTAGGCCTATCAGAGACTCGTGCGTTCTGCCTGAAAAGTTAGGGATGCATTCTATCGTTCCCTTCGAAGAAAAAAAAAAAAAAAGGCTAACGGGGAACCCACCCGCCACCCGTAGGTGAAACGGAAAGGGTAAGTAGGTGCGTGGCTTCTTCCTCAGCTTGGTACGGTTGCGATTTTGCGACAAGTGATGTCGGATTATGGGCTACTTAACATTTTGTATTTCTCTCTTCTCTTGAGTGGTCATTTTTAGGTATTACATGGGTGTCCTTTTTGTCCTTATAGTACGAATAGGTAGATAGGTAGGTACCTATAGGTAAAGATA